TGTTTCAGCACTTGATCGTTGATGTTATACATCATTAATGCAAGACTTTAACTAAACATCTATTTAATGATTAAACTCATCGCAAACATGGATGGTTTAAGTCTAAGGATTAGAGAATTTTTAAGGGCAATCATTCAAATTAGAGATTGTGGAGCCTCATCTGATTAGTTACAGACAGGAACTATTGGCAGAAAAGCTGTTTAATTACAGAAACACCAAAAACTACTTATTCTAGCCCCTTAAAATGAATTATACTATTTTATTTGTTTCTACCTCAACAATATCTTTCTTATTAAAATTGTTTTAACATTGCATTTGTACTCTGTATGCTGGGTGTACACTTGCTGCTCTCATTGCGATGCAAAACAGCCACCATTGCTGTCATCAGGTCTTTCACAAACTAATACTCAGAGTGATTATTGCTTTATTGTGATTGTCTACAGAAACACAAACGCATCACAGTTTCTACTTATTACTGATTTTCATTTTTGGGAATAATAACCAATAAATACTTTGCTGTGGGAGACATTGCTGTGTGTTTTGCCTCAGCCTTCAATTGCTCATGTCTCTGCGGTTATACTGTTGTAGAAGCTGCAGTTATTGGTGAAAATATCTTGTGGAGCTTGGGTCTCATGAGGCAGAACATGGTGCAAAATGGGCCCAGCTGTCATCACATAATGTGAAGTACATGACCAAAAGGATAGCTAGTGTAATAGAGCCTGAGCTTTGGCTTTTGTCTTTATGTCAGGAGTGATTTGTTAAAAAGAAGAATATTCCTTTGACATATTTGTGAAGACACAGTCTGGATTCCCCCTTTATCAATAAGCCAGCAGGATCTTTAGGAAGTTTATCTGAAAAAAAGAGTATTTCTGCACTTCTAATGATAAGGAAATCTAAACTGTACATTCATGTCATTCTCCTATTTAAGGAGTTTTAAGCATGCCCAGATACCTACATGGTTTAAGCATTGAATGCTAAGCTACACAGCAGAGCCAGCTGCCCAGGAAACATTCAAATGTTGGCTGAAAATTATTGATGTATTGGTGTCTAGTTGTTCAATATTATTACATTGTATAGCCATACATAAACCAATATAATCCTTTCGTTGTACCAGCCATGTATTTCAATGAGTATTGTGTTGTGGTTAAATTGTATCATCACACCTCTAATGCATATTGTGACGGAACAAATTCGTGGTTTCAATGAATGAGAGGAAAATTAAATACTTGTGAGACCAAAGAGAACAAAGCAGCTGAATATTGGTGTATGTCATCTTGTTTGTCTACTCACAGTCTGTTTGTCTGACTTCTGATAACCTGCTCCGTCCTCTTGCAGGTCAAAGTCAGGCTTACTTAGTAGACTGACAGTAAAACGTTAGATAAATTCAGGGTTGAATAATTGGGATATCTGCAATTACACTCACAGCTCACCTTAAGTTTGCAAATGTAAAAAAGTAAAAGGCATATGGTTATTTTGTGTTAGAGTTGGGGGTTGTTGTGGTTCCCAAAAATTGGTTGCCATTTGCTAAAAAATGGAGGGAAGGCTAGGCGGCAGCATCAGCGGCAGCAGAAGACTCCGTAAACAGCTAGCTAACCTTTACCTCAGTGAGTTCTGTCTTTAAATCGTGTTGGAAGAGATGGCAGATGAAAGCAAGGTGCTCTGCCTGAACCCAAAATGATTTCCTCCCCAGTTTGGGACGTTTTTAGATTTCGTAGAAAGGCAGGGTGTATGTGGACGATGTGTCGCGAAGAATCACAAGATGACAAAGATGGTGAGTTTTCGATGAATGTAAAGTTTCAGTCACAGTGCAGCTGACGAAGATGAAACATAACTTTGAACTTTGTAAATGAATAATGATGCTTAGAGAAGTTAATTGTGTTAATTAATCAAGTCTATGAGCGGACGTGTTTTTGCCTTTCCTATATTTGACAGATAGCATGTTCTTTGGCTTTTCTCCAAATGTCATGGTAGCATCATTATCCTACTTCTTTTTTTAGAGATATTTTGGGCTTTACTTTTGAGAGGACAGGAAGGTGAACAGAGTAGGAATCAGGGAATATTGAGAAGGGACTTGCCGGGAAGAAGCTGCAGGTTGGACTCGTACTCATAAGGACTATGACCTCCATTTATTTAATCTACTAGGAGACAGACACCCTTAAAATGTTTCAATAAATTTATACTGTCTGTTTTTGTTCTTGTTGGTTCTTCTCTTACTTCTGCCATCTCCATGCTGCTCCCTTTGCTCTAATATCCAATGAACAAAAGAAAGAAAATGATCAAATCTATTGATTTTTTGAGGTCCCTCACACTGCAGTCGTCCCCAGGATTTGAAAATTCAGTTACTTAAAAACAGCTCAGTCACAAATGAGCAGCTCGCGAAGCATCCTGCTGTTGTTTTTCACCACACGCCTCAGCTTCTCAGTGGTGGTCACAGACCTGTTGATGACCTCGGCCTCCACACTGTGAACCGCCTGCAGCAGGAAAACTCTTTTTAAATGGACCTGACATCCCTCCATCCTTTGCTTTGAAAATTTGACTAAACTTGCTCTTAAGTTACTTCTATATATTTCTGATACAAGATTCTTACCAACCAGCTGATCATCAGTCAGCTTCTAAGTAAATTACTTGGACAGTGAGCAGCATCACAGAAGGCTAAAAATAGCGTTGTGCTGTGTGTTTCATGTTTGTATTTGATTTTGATCTTTTTTCTGTTGTGCAGTGTTCAAAGGAGCTAAATATATCTCATGTGATTCAAAGGTCTATCACATACAGAGGAGTCTAAGAGAGGGTGATTACTTCATATAAACATGAGGCGGGCAGTGTGGGGGACGTCTGTATGTAGATGTCCATAAACAGAAAAACACCCTCTGACTCATGTTGTGATGTACAAGAGCAAGATGAAGCCTCAGGCTACAGTGGTGCTACCAAAGAAGGATAAATAAAGGGAGATTCCCTCTATTTCTGGGGTTTATTTTTTAAAAACATTTTGTTACATATGTTTAATACACAGTTGGAGACTCGTTGTGGTGGCTTTGATCCAGTCAGTGACAGCAGTCCTGAAAATCTCCACAAGGCTAGTATCAGTGGTGTCGGACACACTGGTGAAAAACAAGAGCTTATCAAGTCAGAGCGACAGCCTGGATACTCAGGTAACAATTTGGTGCCCAATCTCCCCATCGAAATTAGTGTGGGGTTGATGTGGGTCTAAAATGGGCTAATGAGTGGGTCCCACATGGGTTTGAAAATGAGTCATATGATGGATTGTCAACTGCTTCCATGATGGCCCCATGCCAGCTACCAACATGGGTTTCACACAGGTTTACAGTGGGTCCTAAATGGGTAAAATACACTTGACCTATTTTGTCCCAGCTTTAACACCACGTAGGTACCACATGGGTAAGTAATGTGGGTTATATATGGGACTGTCCATGGGTTCTATGACAGCCCAATACAAAGGATCATACTGGGTGTTAAGCATGATGTCATTCACATATTACTTAAGTGTTATTTGTAATATGGAATTATCATTGGTTGTTGTCCATATAGTGACCTAGACTGTAATTAACACCAGTATAGTTTTTGACCCTTAATTATGAGACAGGTACACTAACCAAAGCAATGATTAAGTTTTTATTAGCATTTAATCTGATTTAAAAAGCTATTTTCTGGATTCACATGAACACACCAAAGTCAGAGCAACCGTTTGAAGACCTCATGAATGCAGCAGTTTGCAGTACTGAGGAGTTTCTTCTTCTTTTAAAAAAAAACAAGGTAAACATATTTCATAGCTTGTATGAGTCAGATAAAATGGATAGTTAAATTGTTGAACAGTTGTTAATGTTCTCATCGGTCACATTTATCTACCCACCACTTAGTCTTGGTTTAAGGTGCACTTCTGTACCTGCTTCTTTTCACTGCAAAGGATAGGTGCGATTTGGGGTGCAAATGATTGCATCCAGAATACCTTATACAGTATCAGCCAGCAGGTGGCAGCAAAAAGGTCTTCATCCCTGTAATGAGGGAAAAGTTAGAGGCTGGATGGAAAGAACCATCAAAAAAATACAAACACAAATCTGTGAAGTTGCTAAAAATGATGATGTTTTAGAGGAGATCTTTGCAGGAGAAGCTGAGAGCTTGAACGTGATCAGACAGATATCAAAACTAATCAGTATTCAAACGGCAGAGGGAGAATCACACTCAGTCATTTACAAGGAGCTAGTTAAACAAGATGGTTAAGTTGACAGTAAATTTGATTGAAACAAAAGTGGGGAAAAATAGCCTTAGGATCAACAGTTCCAGTTTACCCGCAGTCTTACTTTGTGGTACACCTCTAATGGCAAATTACCAATCATAACACACACACAGAGGAAATCCACAAAACACACCAACAAATCAGACAATAGCTTCTTGTAGAAACGGTCATGATCTGCAGTGACAAGGGTCATTATTTACTTGATGAGGGTCTGTTTCTTTTATCCAGAAGGAAAAGCTCAGTGTACTTTTAGTTCCATGCAGACAGAGAATCACCTGTAGTGCTCATGTTTTGAGACCAACATCTGAAAGCAACCTTTGCTTACCTTAAAAAATCAGACTGTTCATTTGTCCCAACAGCCATGAGTAAAGTTGAATGCATTAGAAGTCAATCTCATTGTTTGTTGTCATTTGTAGAGTTATGTGACTTCTTTGCCTCTGTTTATGTCATTATTTTATGTAATTAGTAAATGAGTTTTACTTTTTGTGATTGTGTTTTGCAACCACAGCCTGGAGATAAAATAATAATAATCAAGCAGTGCTAGTCAAGAAACTTCTCTATGTAAAAGAGACGACTTTTGTCACAGAGGTCTAGTAGGTTATCACATCAGCGATCACAATGTACCATTCTGCTGTTTCCACAAATAGATTATTGTTTGATAATATACTCCATCTTTTATGGATCTTATCCATTTTCATTTTTATAAATCATTTATCGAGTTACGTAAAAGCCGGTTTAAAAATAAACCGAAACAACAGTTGGATGTGATGATTTAGATATGAGCAGGCTGTGTTTTTCACTTTAGATTTAGATGAACGTTTTCTCACAAGAGGCTTGTATTTCATTATTTTGCGCACATTTTCATCACCCCATTTTATCCCACCGTCAACACCGACCGAAAACATGCAGAAACCGTGTCGGATTATTGAACAGATGAAGGCTGGTACACAGTGAGGGGCTGAGGGAGAGGAGCCTCGTGCCGATTGGTTTCATGAAGATGATGTGAGGAGAGCGGGGCCGCTCGCGCTATAAAAGCAGCGTATGTGCGCGCGAGCGGCTCAGTGATCGGGAGAGGACTGTAGCAGCTGGTAAATCCACATCCACCTGAGCGGAGAGACGCACAGAGCCGCACAACGAGCAGCCATGAGCGAGGTAGGAGCTTCACCTCTCTCTTTATGCTTCATTTACCCCTCCTGTAGCCGTTAAAACTGATACAACAGCTGTACTGTGGAGGTAAAGAAACTGTAACAAAGACTGAGGACGTTTTTGGCGCTTTTAAACGTCGCGCTTTTATGAATAACTTTAACTCTTAGCAGCTTCTACTTCAGCTTTTTCTGCATGCAATAAACCCTAAAAAAGGCTGAGTACATAAGTGCATTTTTCCTTAAAAATCAGCCAAAGTGCACACAACTCCAATATTAAAAGTGCTTTCATGTTTCTGTTCTGGTGTGCATCTACAGCAAAAACTGCATAACACACTCTAAAAAAAAAAAAAAAAGAAAAGATGATTTTGTGTCAAAACTGCGACTTCAAACGACAGTCAACAGTGTGTGGGATCATTAAATGCATCTCTCATGGTAGTAGTGATGGGGATTCTGGCTCCTTTTAATGTTCATCTCATTAAATCGAGCCCAGCTCTGAGAGGCTGCGCTTTTTGGTTCCAAACAGCTCCTAATTATCAGTATTATAAGCTTTATTTTAGACAGGTTTGACCACAAAAAACTTGAATTTTTTTTATCTTTGTCCCAAACTTATTCAGTGATAGGATTATATGCACATTTGCAGCAGGTTCAGGGTTTGCAGAAACATGAATCACACTTGCATTGCTACTTAAATTTTTAGTAAATGCATCTCATTTAAAGTTTGAATGTCTCTTTGAATGTTTTTTTTTTTTTTTGATTGAAATTGTTTATTTGATCAAATATACATACAGTACAATTTTAGACAAGAAATTTCCTATTTTTTGGAGATCGAAAAGGAGCAGGTTGAAGCTGTTTAGCTTATATGTACCTACCCTCATTCCTTCCTATTGGTTTACCCTTTACATGTCTCTAGAATTTAGAATTTCTGATGTTTCCAAAAAGTAACCAAAGCTCCAAAGTCATGTTAACCCATATTGCACTATTGTCATGCAATAACACCATCCTATCATCGGCTCAGTGTTCATTAAAAAAATCTAAACAAATTGGCTCTTAAATGGGATCACGCCTCTTTCATTCACTTGAAAAAGCCGTCTTGTAGCTCGAGCTTATAAATCCAACTCATTTCACTGATTTGAAAAATGTCTTTCAGTGTTTTCACTTTGACATTTCTGAGTAAAGCTCACTCCAGCATGAACACATGCTGCATGAGGCAGAGACAGCACTGACCCACACAGTTAGTCCACACATCACTTCATGAAGCTCAGACGTTCTAACTCGCATGTGGGCTGCCGAGAGGTGATGATAATGTCAGAGCGGAAAGAAGCGGAGACCCCAGTAAGAGTCCTCTCTGAGAGACGCTTCTCTGGCAGCGAGCACATCCTACAGTCACTGAATTATTCAACACCTGCTGCTAACCCCGAGAAATAAAACATTCTCACAGGGTGCAGGGGGAGCCCTGGTGCCTCGAGTCAGACCGCTTCAGGAGTCTGTTAAGCCTGAGGAGCTGCACTGACTTACAGCCGATTATATACCGAGTAAGACTGCTTTAATCTGAGTGCTGCTGGACATGTAGAGCTTTGGATGAGGTCCATTCCTGGTAGCTACATGTTCTCTCCCTGCAGCATGAAGCTCTGCCATGGAGCTTCATTATATAGCTGCAGGATGTTTTTTGCATTACAGTATTTTTCACTGCAACACATTTTTAGCAGTTCATTACTTATAGGGTACTTAATGACCTACAAAGAGGCCTCGCAGTTACTTTGAGCATTAAGGACATGCAGTGATCAGGGGTGAGGATTGACGCGTGACTCACAGAAGGGGGCAACCGGATTTGATACAATATGATATGTCATTATGTGCGATACATGGCCCACAATATTTTCATGATACAAGTATACCGCAGTAACATACAATATGTATAGCAAAGCAACTACACTGTAAAACATGTAAAAAAAAAAAGAGAATTTCTTAAAAATGATCATTTAGTAATGCAATTTAGTGCTTGAATAAGTGAAACCAGCTGGTGAACATAATAAACTGTCATTGTCATTTCAAGGAATTTTCCGGCCACAAATTAAGTTTGGGTCAAACACACCGTAACACCAAGTTTAGACACCCCCTTCGAGAGATGAATGTTGCCAACAGCTTGCTTCTCTAGTTATACCAAATTTAGTAACGACCACACGATAGCAATACACAGTGGTCTGGGGATCAACATGCAGACCTCAACAAAACAGCCACTCTATAGCCACAAGTAATGCTCAGAACAGCACCTAATTTTACACCGAAATATCCCTTGAAGACTAGTGCTGAGCGATAAAACGATAAGATTTATCATGATCATTTTTTGAAAATTTAAACAACGAATGTTTGATAAAAGCTTGATAGATTTAATCCTTTAAACACACCACCCAAACTCTAAATACTGAAACACTAGTTGCCACCCATTATTATAGAACTGAAGAAGATATTGGAAAATGTGTATAAGTGCCTGCTCTGTCATTTGACATGGCAGTACTAGAGATGCACCGATCCTGTTAAGAACTTTATTAATCCCCAAAGGGAAATTCATTACTGTTGAATGAATGAACTGTACACCTTGCCCTGTGAGTGAAGGCATCAGGCTTGACATTAGCCTTGTTAAATAAAAGGTAACAAATTAAAACATATATAAATTCATCAGATCAGTCATTCATCAGATATCCGATCCAGTTAATTTATTCATATCGGAGCCGATATTCGATCCAAATATCGGATTGGTGCATCCCTAGGCAGTAGTTGTTGTCCACCAAGTGACTTAGACTCATCCAGTTATTTATTTATACACATTACTATGGTGTTTAGCCCTTGATAACAAGTTAGCTAAAGCAATATTTTAGTATTTATTAAGCATTCAATTCTGACCTGAGAAGCATTTGACATTCGACCTGACTTTCCATGTGGACAGAATATGAACTCACCAAAATTGGAAGCTGGCATCATTATCCATTGAGTTCATAAATGCAGCATGAGAGACTGTTGGAGCGTAATGAAAAGACAGGTGAAATGAGCAACAACAACACTAAGGTAATGCAGCTAAACCCACCTGCTCAAAGCAATGTGAAAACATCATGCACAAGAAAGGGAACTCAGCGTCATTGGTTTGGAAATATTTGGTTATCTGGAGTCCAACAGAGACGTATGCTAGAGATGTGGAAGCCAAAATCAATTGAAATATCATTTGTGAAAACTAGAGCTGGGCGATATGGGCTGAAATTAAAAACTCAGATTTCTTTTTTACAGATTTTTCCTTTTCTCATAAAAATTAAAAATGTGAATTACATAAACCTTACAAAACCACAAATGTGATTAATCGAATAAGCAAACATTTGCATCATTGCAGAAGACTTGCCTCTCATTAGCACCATCTTACATGAGACTCATCAGGTTACTTGATCCCAGATATAAGCTAACAATCTAGTGTCTTCAAACTTCTTAATAAGCAAAGAACAGCCTTTAAATTTGATAGAAATGATAATTTGATTTTGAAAATTGATTGAGATTGCACTTTTTGGATGCAGCAGACCATGGCACCACTGCATCCCCAAATGAGTGAAACTCCCTCTGCAGACTCGATTACATCCTCCATCTTTCTTCTTATTTCAGCTCAAAATGCCTTTTCCTCCTTTTCTTCTTTCTTCTTTTTGGTTTTAAAAGTTATCCCACTATCCTTTTCTTGAATTATGCAGCCATCAGCTTCTGCTTCAGCCAGTTTGCATTACCCTCATTCATGTCATTAGTTCCACTGTATGGAGTCATGAAACAGAAACACAGTGAGTCAAATTTACAAGGAAATCTGTTCAGAACACATTTGTCCCCTTAAAAAAATCAATATTTAGCCCTAGCATATTGATCTGTATCAGATAGATTGAGACAACAATGCATTGCCTTATCAATATTTTTCTACCCCTTGCGGTGTTTAATGCTCTGCATTTCCTGAGACCATTATTATTATTGCTGTGTTTCATTCTCTGCCTTTTTAATTAACTATTCATGTTCTCGCAATTCCAAATTAGAGAATAAAAACTTGCACATAAGCAGTCATACCAAGGCACTCAAGCACACATGCAAAACACACATAGTGCCTTGGTATCTGTTCTTTAGGCAAAATAAATCAAATCATGAATAGAAAAAAAAAAACAAAAACAATCTTGACTCGTGTAGGTCAAAATTTGTTCATTTGTATGCGGAAAAAATATATTTGTCCTCCATAATTGATACCAGAGTACAGCAGCCCAGTTCTCTTGCAGGACACGCTCTTAAATGAAAAGAAAATAACATAAATCAAATTGCCGCAGTACTCGCTTCGAGATGTAAATAATGTTTTAATCAGCGTGTAAACCGCTCTGCACAGCCGCCGCTGCAGAAGCGGCAGCCCTCATGAATCTTTCACTGCAGACTTGTGATGTCTTTTTTTGTACACCGTCATAAACACAATACACAGGATCATGTTGGCGACTTCTTGCGCAGAGAGAAGGAAGTTGGAGTCTTATAAATAAGACAGGACACAGAGGAAAACCTGGGATATTCAGTCGCTGTCTTTCGTGGCAGTGATGCATTCGGGCACCTATAATGGGCCAAGGCCAAGACAAGAGTACGATGCTGTGGATGAATTATTCAACAGAAATCAATGGCAGCAGCCTCCATCTACCTCCACCCTGTCCTGCTCTGCCTCAGCTTACACTCACACAAAGTTTTAATGGGGTGCTCATCTGTACAATTGGTCCTCTCACAAAGAGGAGAGGAGTTTTAAATTTCTGTTGGATCACTATGAGGTAACCTGTCAAGTTTGTCAATTTGCAGACAAAAAATTCCGAGAAATCATGCAGATTTTTGACTGTCTCTGTGACCTCTAGAGCTTCTCTAAAGTAAAGTAAATAAAAAAGCTTTTTATGCAGACGCACTGAACAAAAAACATCATTCCAGGCAGGTACAGGCTGTATGTTCTTAAAAAGACATGCCCAGAAAAGAAGTGTTTCTATATAACTGTGTTAAACAATCTAGTTGATTCACTGCCAACCTGTGGCGGTTGACTTGATAAAATATTCAGCATCAAGCACATTAGTGCAACGTTATGGTTGCTTAAATTTGCAGTGTTCTAAAAATCGATTTGATTGTCCAATTAATAGTTAAACTGCGGCAGGATTAATGAATAAGGAATAAGAATAAAGAATGAGGCCATAAGCAAGCCTCTGCAGCTGATTCATCTGTGCACATAAACATCAGGCACTCTGAGGTTCCTGTGGTGAAAGTAGCTTTAATGTGTGGTCTGTCGCCATAGTGATGAACATTTCTGCACTCACAGGCTGCACTGTCGAGCACATCATGACAACATGGAGGCTGAAATTAACAGTGTTTTTGAGGTGTGGGCTCTGGCTCATGCAGGCTTCATTTTAGTCATGTCAGTTTTTTATATTTATGATGAGATTTTATACAATCGGCCAAATGATTCATTTCACACTGACTCTAGTTTATTTTTTACGAACTAGATCATTTACTTAACTGGGGTTTGCTCTATTGAAAAAGCACTTATGAAGGTATGACTGTACCAAGTTTTTCAAGTCCACTTTACTGTTGGAAAGAAAATCATGCAAATAACTGAACACTTATTGCTGGACAACCCTTAATTGGCATCAATTTGATGTAAAATGATTTTTTTGTGTGACATTAGGTTTCTTTTGTCTCTTTTGTCTTCTTTTGTTTCTTTTAGATCATTCTAAAATCTTCAGGTTTCATAAGACATGGTTGATTTAAAATGAAAAAAAAAAACAAGGTAACACTTTCTTTGATGCCTATCTCTATAATGCATTATAGAAATATTTATAGTGCGTTATAATCACATTATAGCACTAACTATAGTTATAAACACTCATAAATGATCATAATGCTTTATAGCAATAATCATAGCACATTATAAAGCTTTTTATCATGACTTACAAGGTCAGGTTTTATAACTTGTTATAACTGTTAACAACAGTTGCATTGAATTATCTATTTGGGCATTATTAGTGAGTTGTTAAAAGTTATAACACATTATAATACCTGACCTTGTAAGTCATAATAAAATGCTTTATAATGCTATTGCATTATGGTCATTAATGAGTTTTTATAACTATTGTTATATAGTGCTATAACATGATTATATCGCATTATACATATATTTATAATGGGTTACAGAGAGGCTTCAAATTAAGCGTTACAAAAAACAAAAAAGCAAGCATATTCAAAGTATTTTGCAGTTTGTCTTAAGAAAGACTACACAATACATGAAACTGTTGATTTGTTAAAAAAAAAAACCTTCACGAGCAACAAACAATTTTACAATCAGCTTGAGCTCTTTAGAGCAACTGTTTTTTTTTTCATCATTATTTGGATTATTTGGAAATGTTTGGGAAAAAGTGGGTGCCCCTGGGCTGGTGGTTTCAGCCCGAGGCCCACTTTCGATTCCAGTTTCCCTTTTCTGCAGGTCATCTTCTGCTCTTTTACTGTTTTCAGATCCATCCATTGTCCTGTCCTCTCAAAGCAAAGTAATAAAAAGCCAGAAGGATGAATTAAAATGAAAAACTAGGATTTCCACATCAAAAACAGTACTTGACTTGTTTCTTCCTCCATTATGTTCAAACAGCTTAATGCACTTAACTGACAATACTGTGTAGCTACCGAACATATGGAGGCTTACTCATTATTCAACAAACTGAATTTCAACATGTGAAGCACGCTCACAAAAGTATCTCTGTGGACATTTGGCCATACAGGACGAGGCTCAAACTACTTAATGCAGAACTGCTGCAACAAGAGACCTGGACTAACAATATTTCAGACTCACACACACACACACACACACACACACACACACACACACACACACACACACACACACACACACACACACACAGTACATTTACATGCAGATCAGGTGCAATTATGGTTACAGCTCGATAAGGTGCTTTAACTGGACTGCTATCTTTGTCTCAGTCTACAAGATCCAAGCAAGAATCGAATTATTGACAAAGTCATTGTTCACCTTCACAATGGTAGGTAGCGATGTACCCCCTTTCAGCTTGTTGCAATGGGGCCGTCCCCCGGTTGACCTTTAAGGCAATGTACCAAAACAATCGAAAAACACGCGAGCAGGAGGCTAACTGCTTGTCGAACAGTAAAAACCATATGATCCCACCCCTGTTCTTGCTTTCCTTCTGGCGAGCTCCTTTTTGTTTCTGTATGTCACCCTAGCTAAGCTAAGACTAGTTTTAGTCTGACTGAGGTGTATACAAGAAGGATCTGTATTATCTAAAGCCAGTCAATATTGTTGACATGATAATGTTCAGTTTTCTTCTCACTTGTTCTTGTTGGAAAGAAAGAGCTTGTCCTCGTGGTTGGATGTCAGTTAGAAACCACAACAAGGTCACAATCAGTCTGAAAGCAGACATGCAGACATCCTGGTGCACCAGCTTTGTCAGTGTGGGAAATTTCTCAGCAGTTACTTTCCACTACTCTTTCATCTTCGTACCTGAAAGTGGGAAATTTTCTGCATAGAGTTTTCAACCGCTTTGTCCACACCATTGATGGTGGGTGTTGTGTATCAGTCCCTGAAAAGAAAAGCTACTGTGGAGATGTGCTACAGACCTGGCTGAACAACACCTTCAGACCCCTTTAGTGGCTTTACATTAAAACATGCCTTAAACTTAAAACAGCACCATGATAGCTGAATGTAATTTTAAAACCTCTACCTGATATGATTTAAAGAAATACATGTTTGAGAGTGTTGTCAACATTCAAATGTTTCATACTGGATTTATTGGTAACATCCCAAATTTAGAGTTTTGATTCAAACCAGAAAGCACTCTGAATGCAATTTGCGAGATACAGTGAAACTGCTACTCAGAAAAAACAGATGGACAGGTACTCCATGGCTAAAATGTAATGCTGGTAATTGGCGTACATTCAAGAAATCCTGTCAAAAAAAAAAAAAAATCAGGGAGGACCTGCCTAACATCTAGTAACTGGGCACTGGACAGCATCGAGTGACAGATGTTTCAGTTAAATGAATCCAGACAGTTTGGGCAGGAGGTGGTGAAATTAGACGAGCTGTGTGTGCACCTCTGGTAGATGTTGTAAAGCCACACTGCCGCTTTTAATTTCAGGACATAGGACTCAAATTTTGAACACAGTTTGTGTTCTCCAACTTTAAGAAACTCTAATGATGCTACAGGGAATCAATCTTTATTAAGAGAAGATTTAATTCAACATGAGTCTGAGAACAGCTGAATTGCAAGCCTTATTTGGCATGTTTGTAATGCAGACACACCGTCATTAGCTGCAGCTTCTGTGCTGTTTGGCTTACACAATGATCTGGAGACTTACTCCTCCTCTGCCTCAGGTTGTTCAACAAAACTTTAATTAGATGGCATACAGCAGTGGAGCTCCAGCCAAGAAATGTCACTTCCACTTTTCAGATTTTCAGCTAAAGATAATGATTTCCTCCAAACCCCAGTACCAGCTGGTTTCACACCAGCAGATGCACCAACACAGCATCCTGCGGGCTTTGCAGGCTAAGGTGCTAACTGTATAATTATGGCATGAGCTACAACATGCTGTTTGTGCTGTTTGTCATGCAGCATGTTTTTCCTGTCCTCTTTAGGCTATATAGGTGGAAATTCAAGTATCCCAAACAAGCAAGGCTATTGATAGGGAGGCTCCAATCAGCTGTGTTGGTCCCTGATCCTATTCTTTTAATGATGAGCACCAAAGCCCCACCTTCACACTTGTACTTGCCAAGATCATAAAACTGCACACCATTTTTTGGGGGTTGTTTTGTGTCCAGAGGTGGTGAAAACCTCAGTTTTCTACAACAGAGAAAGGCTCAGGGTCTAAAGTAGGGCTCTGGATTAAGGATGTCCAGATGATAAAAAATGAGTCAGGGACGATGAGAGATGTTCACTGAGATGTATCAGGGACAAAATGTACTTTTGTATTTGTATGATTATAATATTAAGTATATGTAAGTTACTATTGCTAAAGAAATTAAAACTAAATTGTGAACTGATATAATTAAAACACATCTGTTCATATGAAACATTTACTTTCCTTCAAACTAAACCACAGCCCCTCAGCAGATGATACATTTTTATACAGTGTGTATGACTAGAGCTCACTCACTATTACTGGGTTAACTATTATCATAAATATCTCTGTTCATCCAAGATTGCTGCTTTTTTGTGTAAATCACCTGCACCTGCTAATGATGTCCTCTCCATGGATTTGTAGTCGTACATCTCAGCCAAAATGTCCACGTGTTGTATCTGTACCTGGACTGATATGTTAGATAAATCTTGGAAATTTAGCTCTGTGACCCTGCTAAATTTGCCCTCAGCTCATTGGAGGCCCCACATGGTCTGGCCTAGATTGGATTTTGAAGAGCTCCTGGTGGGCTCCACAGAGGGCCTGTATTCTACAAATTAAGCCTCCTTTTGACCTATCTAGTACCCATACATGCTGTTTCATCTTTCATGTTTCTTGGCTGGCACCCCACTCAAGCAGGGCTGGAAGTGTCCATTTTGGCCTACATGTTTGCGTATCAATTACACTGATTATTTGATAGTGTTAGTAGGGAGAGTCTTTAATTAACCTTTGTAGGTAAAACCAAAGTTAAAAAAATATACTGCCAGAGCCTCACAGGTTGCACAGTTTAGTCGTGTTGCAGCATCATGTGGAGTTGGGTGATTGTCTTTAACTTAAAAGCCACAAATTGTAGCTGTTTTATTAATCATTTTTATTAATTCTTTTTTTTTTTATTTGTGTTGAGATATAAAGGGTTGTGGACACAGCTTATCACAGCCAATCAGAATCCATCTGTGCTGTTGCTGAGAGGAAATGCTGTGCCTCCAGCTCTGTGATTGGTGGTCCAACAGTCAAACTATTGAAGGCATGGTAATAGTAGGTCAGTGACAGTAAAGTTGACCTTATCATCTCTCTGATTGAAATGACTGTTTTGTGAATTATCTTTGAATGATAAGTTGGAGTTACTCAGCAAATATAGACCTGCAGCTCATCTTAATTTGCTGTGGAAAATGAAGGTTTTTGAGAGGTATTTCATCTGTAGCCATAGCCACAGATATCTGTTAATAACACATTTAAACATCAATGGTGGTTTATGTAAAACCATGATTAGAAGGGGTTGGGGGCCAGGTTTAAGAGCCACAGTTTGCTCCTGCTATATTGTAGGTCAGTGCTCAGTTTTTTCAGTCAAACAATAAACACTAAAATCAGCCTATCTAAAAGGTTCATCTGTTTGTTTCAACTTCAGCTGCAAATCCATGTTTTGTCTGAAGTCTTAGCATCAGGAAGGGAAAAACTATCAAAGCTTTCCATCACCCTTTCACCCTGACATGCCAAAGGGTCCTCATTGAACATTGATCAGTATGCACAAAGTAAGTAGGGCAGAGTTAAACCAAGAAGTCTATCTGTGATGTTGAGAGACGACCTCTCCAAAAGACGGTTGACGATATCTGACAGCGTATGTTCTTTGCCCTGTCACCAATTAACTTGGTGACGTTCAAGGCTGTGACGGACAATCATTAGCATCGATGGGAAGATGGCTGAAACTACCAAAATCAGACTTCCAGACAGGATGTAGCCCTTAAATTTTCCTGGCATGTGAAGAACTTTTTGCTCCATTAGTAGAGCAGACGGGATATTTGATGTCAGGTTCAGAAACATATGACAGCTTTTAGAGAACAACTCCTCCTGCTAAAAGCTAAAGCTGTACACAAGAGGGAATATGGTTTTCTTGTAATATCTCTGCTGTTCTGCAGCAGATTAATGGATGTTTACAGTGTCTGATGTTAGAGTTTGTAGGATCAAACCTCTTTCCTGAATGGTTCGTGGCTGTAAAGCACATCCAAAATTGTATTTTGTAATTACTCAATCATCTGTATAAAATCTGATTGAATGTGATTGTTGAAAGATTGCCATACGCAGTATTAAAGTGGACATCCTGTCTTAGTGACAAGCTGTCCTTCAATCACTGCATCAACACAAGAGTGATCTCCTGCTGTGTTCATCCCATTCTTTAATTACAGAGAGAGTGGTTAACATGGTGGCTACTTGGCAAAGCTGTTTGTTTCATCATCCAAAGTGGACTGGAGCCCTTTTTATCAAATTAATGAGATAAGAGTGCTAAAAGTTGCTGATCAATGTAAAAGGACAGAAAGCTGAGTTGGGGAAAGTGGTCAAGGATGGGTTTTCCTTAAAAGTCTCTTTTGCTGACTTAAGACTGATCAAGTGATTGAGATCCAACCACAGTGGTGATAAGAGGGAAACTGCAGCTCTGTTAGAAAATGTCCTCTCACTGAAATATAAACACGATTTAATCTGAGATTTGCTGTTATTTGTACTGAGGCATGTTGTTTGACCCTAATCCTGCTTTAAACAATGAACAGATTACGCTGAAATAATCTGTAATCCAACTAAACAGTCAGCAGGCTCTGGTGGTGCCTTCATTCGCTGACACTTGCCCTCTGGGGTAATCCTGGCTTCTGCCGGGTGTTTTGCAGGAAAAACATCAGGCAGTGAGGAGTGGGAAGTGGACGGTCAACACAAGAGAAGATAGAGCAGATTACATTTAAACCGCCAAGACAGGATCATTGCTGTAGTAGCATTATAAGCTTTGCATTGAACCTCAACCCCGAGGCTCGTAAAATGTCACACATCATTTGCCTTCAATATGGCTGAGGGAGAGATGTGGCACTACTTTCTGCCTGATGCGCGAATACATTGTATAATGCACTCACTGCAAAAGCTCACTTCATAGGCAGCAGATTGGTCTGATTCCTAATCAGAATATTTCATATCACTCAATATAAATCATGTTTAGCTTCCTATCACATTTCAAGGAGAGGAGTATATGATACTTCTATGACAATAATTATTATTTTTTAAACAAAAGGTGTTTATATCGATATTAGTGTCTGTATTGGTCAGAATAAGTGTCGGAAGTGGATTATTTTTTAAGTTAAAATGTCTGCAAAGAGACAAGCATCAAAACTTTATGAAATTAAGTATTTACATCCTGTTTCAACATCCTAGTTAAAAACAAGCTTGCTTTGTCCAATTTGTTTTTCAATGAGAAATATCATGCAGCTTTCAATAAGAGCTGCACGATTATGAAAAAAACTAATATTGTAAATAATTTTCTTCTATATAAGTCTTGGGAAATGAAAAACACAGGAACTGACCAGGTAAAGCCAATGAATTTTAAAGAGAAACAAATAAAGCTTTCAAAGTCACAATCGTATTATGAATGTTTGGGGTCTCATAGTCCGTCTTCTGCTGTCAAATAACATCATCTCCCTCTTATATCCCTCGGAGGGCAGCTCTGACACCCACACAGAAAAATAGAGAGGCAAAAGGCGGAGAGAGCACGTGTGGACAACACATAAACTGTACTACTAGGTGAAAATGACTTTCTCACACGTAATCAGCCACTGTCTGATGAAAATTATGTTTAATCTGCATCACAAGCCCCGTGACAGTTTCTTTTAAATAATCGAAAACTCGCACTCTTCCTGTGTGTTTCATTTTCATGAGCGAATTAGCAGTAAAATAGTGTCAGATAGATGTGAAAAGTAGATTAATCCTGGTAAGCATCATGTGCTCCAGGTCATTAGACTGAGATGTAGTTGCAATGTTCAAAGGATGTCACGTTCAGCTCTGGTATATAGACCTGATAATTATTGGCTGATGATTGGGAATACGTTATAATTAGTAGTAACAATTAGTGGTGCAATGAATCATTGTTGATCCATGATCTGTATGGATGCCTCTCCACAGTTCGGCACACATGTGGTCTGCAGATTGGTTGATAAAGATAAAAGTTGTGCATGTTCACATGAAGGTCTCATGATCAATCCACATTCACTAATCAATCACAGCGGTGTTTGTGGCTAGCGGCGGATCAGAGGAACTTGAAAAACCTCCTACATCATTTTAGTCGCATGTATGGGAGCATTTTGGTTTGCCTGTAAATTACAGTAATGAGCAGGGCTCCCAAGTCTCATGCATTTTAACAAGTTCACACGCCACACATGATATTTCCCATGCTGAGAAGTGTTAAAACTCACTGCACACTAGTAACACTGTATATAGAAGAGATTTGTAATCTTATGAATGGATTAGACGAGGGAAGGCAGACTGCTCTGCTTGAATCTGTAACCTATCAGCCAATCAGAAAATAGTATTTATTCTTGCCAGGTGAAATAGCAGTGCCGTAATCACATCCTCCATGCATGTGAATGCTGCTATTGTGTGCACACGTCAAAGAAAAGCTGGAAGTGAAAGCCCGAAATCAGGTAATCACTTTATTCCTTGATTTTTTTTTTAATACAATAGCTATTTATTTGACTCGAGGAAGTGTGCAGGGTATTTGCTTTGTGGATTATTTTTTTTTTAAACCTCAATTTAAATATAAAAATTGAGAGCCCTAGCAGGCAGTGTAGGATGAGAAAGTGGGATGAGAGTGGAAATACATTAAACATGGCAACCCATTTAAAGGAAAAGAATTAAATATACCTTAAATTCCTGACACAGTGGGTGGGGCTTTGCTTATATCAAGTGTAAAGAAAAATTGTGAATATGAATTACACAAAAACTTAATGTATGATTCAATATTTGTAGAGGTCAACCTGCAAAATTCAACAAAGTGACCATAAAGACACATGGAAGTAGATGTAAATTAAATGTACTGTAAATGTACAACTTTCTTGCCAAGTGGAAAAACTTTTTTGCATGATCTGGGTGTTTGTACCCCAGCCAAAAAATACCCAAGATTGCATCATGCGCATTAGAGAAAACTGACAAATAATCTCCCCTCTAATCTCAAACATGCACAGACTCCAAGATAAGAAAATAATGGCACATCAGCCAGTATGAGATTTTGATTAAGATTATCTGGTGTGCAACACATCACCTCATGTGATCTCTTGTAATCTCACGTGATCTCACTGGGAAGCAGATGTGAAAAAAAAAAAAAAAAAGGCACTGACGTCCGTCTGCTGTGCCGATGATTTCCAGAGGGAAAAAACTAAAGAAGCATGCCGAACAGGTCCTGATGAGATTAAGATCTGTGAGGTCAGTTTGGCTTGTCAGTTCTTGTGCAGAGCTGTGGGCAGGGTTGTACCATTTTTTTCTTTGGTCAACAGTTGCCCGCTAGTTTGCATCAGTCTCAGAAAAAAGAAAAAAAAAATTAAACTTCGCCTCGAGCAAATTGACTACATATCCTTCTTTGTGGTTTAGTCTCCCTTGGCAAGCACTGACCAAACCACCCTTACTCTAAATCCTATAAATTAGACATATGTGGTATTATTTTGAGGCCTGAATGAGTTTGTAAGCCAGACAGGGGTTAAAACTGGATTTGGAGACCCCTGACATTACCAGAAAGTCTGGACCAGATATTAGTGAAGGCTAAGATTCCTGTCAAAAACCCTTGAACTGGTAATTACTCTTCCCTGAACTTAAGAAGTCTGAGTTTAGCCCTGCCCTTGAGAGGAAGGGTAGGAAAGGGCAATATGGCAAAAAAACTGAATCACTATTATAGTAGAATCTCAAACTGTACTTGATCTCTGACAAAAAAAACTTTTTAAACGGATTTCATCAATATTTTCCAATTTGTAAAAAGTACAGCTGGCAGTAAATGATATTAACAAAGACTGCATTGAAACTCAGTCTTTGACTTCTACAGGTCTGGTACAGTTTAGGATGAAGTAACACCTCCCCCCCAAACTGAAAAAAGTACTTTCCTTTGATTCTTTTCCAGTATGTTTCCGTTCACACTGTTGCCATGGCTAAAAGTGCTGCACTGTTTCCCTATGCAGTCAGCTTGCATCTCCACTAGCTATTGCTTTATTCTGCCTGACAGCCCGCTGATTGCATGCTTGGCCATCCTCAGGATCCCCCCCAACACAATGCAATTTCTTTTTGTACGTATCAAATATGTTTAATATTTATAGTTTAAAATGAGGGAGTCCTCGATCGTCTCCCACACAAACTGAGGGAGGAAAATGACTCTTATCACACCTCAGGCCGCAGGCAAGATAATCTTCAGAACCATTAGATAATCATGTCTTTGCTGACGTCTGTCAGACGTGGGGAAGCAGGCCAAATTTGGTATGATTATCATGTAATGTTTGCTCTGCTTCAGGCATCCTGGATAGTGTAGCTCAGTCTTGATTTTCCCATTTCCTGAAGCTCTTTCTGAACATAAAAAGCAATAAAAACTCTTGATTTACTGAACAAGAATTGAGTCAAATCTATCAGAAAGAATTATAAACCAACAAAGACTCGTCCTTTCAGGTTATGGCAGCCTGAAACCAACACAAACAAGGAAGTCACACTCAATTGAGTGAGCTAATTAGAGCAATGAGCCAACAGGAACAGACTAAAAAAAGAAAACCTGGTGAGGATATCTCCTCCTTATTAATGGCTCATTTTAAAATCATTGCCATCTTTTTGCTGTCACCTCCCCATCCCACTCATCCCTCCATCTGTGAGGATGTACAAGCTGAGGTGTTGTAGAGATTTTTATGGACCTGCAGTACAGGGTGGGACGTGAGCTGGAGACAGTCCCCCTGGACTTCCCCACTTACATTACAGCTATGTTGTGCAGCAGAGCAGTAAAAAAGTTGCTTATACCCCCTACTAATTGTGCCTCCAGAGTGTTTATAATTGGCTTTAAAAAGACAGAATATTCTGTACGGTTGGATGTATGCTGCTGGGTGGCCCACACTCTTCTAATGCATGCTAATGTTCTTTGGGGACAGCATGCTGCTATGCCATTAGTTGTAGTTGAATAACTCCAGCTGGAAGGCAAACTGTCCCTTCCTTACTCTGCAATGCTGCTGTTGCTGCTGTACACGTTTAGGTGAGTAAAGGAAGTTACTGCTGGGCGGAGCGGATCTGCTGAGATTTTAAAGGGCCATTTTTGCTTAATTGCAAAACCAACACATCACAGCCCATTAACTCTTCATGGTATCACACCAGCCCACCATCAACACCAGAATGAAATCCGTTAATTAGACAGAAAAGTTGAAAAGGTTTTGCCAGTAACCATTACATGCTTGATTGTAGCTAAGATCACTTAATCGCAGATAAGTGAAATAAACCCAGTGAAATGTTCAATTCAGGACCCTGTTTACACATTTTTAGTTAACATTGGTAGTAAATGGGACAAAGGACATAATAAGCAGAAGTGTTTTCTATAGTTAGAGATATTCATCATTTTACATAAAATGCAGTTTTTTTGGACCCTCGTCAAAGCTAACAATGCTTTTGTTATTCTTGCTAGTCTTAAATTCACAAAGTGACAGGGACACTGGTCAAAATGGTCGGTATTTTCCTGTGATTTGGTGAGGTATGGGCCTGGGGATACACTTGTCTTTCCTATGCCAAAATGTATATTTCTCAAATCAGCAGAACAGGGAAGTGACTACTTGGAAATAAGCCTCTAAGGATTTCTCAAAACCCCCCAATCTTACAATCAGCCTGCGAGTTTATAACTCTGTGTGAGCCCATATCATTGTGAATGTGCAGCTCGCATAGAGACTGTGAAGCTATTTGACTTAATGTTAGCATGGTTGCATTAGCAATGATTAGCTTGCATGCAAGATCAGTTAGCTCTTTGTAAAGCTGTGTGTGAGTACATGGAGAGAAACTGTTGCTTTCCGTGTCTTTAATCAAGACAGTTTATTAAATGTACATTTAGCCACTTCGGCTGATACTACTTAAAGCTACCAGTGAGACATTTTGGACTTCTGTCAACTTTGGCACCTCTCCTCTACATCCTTAAACAGAAGGAAACAAAAATCAATAATCATGTTATCATTATTTTATTGTTGATTTATCCTTAAATTCCCAAGGGACCCACTCAGATGGAACTCACTTCATTAAAAAGCTGTCAGCAACACTGATTTTTTTAAGGATTTTAGCCCAAGCTTTCTCTGGTGACATCAAGAGTTGGGAGGGGGGCCAGTTTCAGTCCCATCACCAGTGTCACCATCTGTCAGGACGAGAATTTGCATTAGGTCAATTATCTTTATGACCAGTTTAAGTTTCAGTTTTTTGACTTTAGTAAACCCCCTTTACAGAGAAGTGCCACTGCCCTCAACTGTGAAAGAACACTTGCATTTAGAAGTCTAGACTTCGAATATCCGATGATCCTGCTCAAAGATGCACTTGAAAGAAAGAAAGTCTGATAATCACGTCAGTACAGTGTTTAAACAAAAGGCAGGACATCAAAGACAATCCTGGAGCTAAATTTGTATATGATTTATCTTTCATTAGCCCCCAGTTGATACTGCATTTTCCCCTCTTCTTTATCCTTCCTTCCTGAGATTAATACCCCACTTAAACTGAGTTCTCCGAGTAGTAACTCATTTTAAGTAGTTAATCCCTCACAGTCAAAGTAATGATGAATACACAAGTCAGTTAGATTTCACTTTCCAGGTCTTATAGTGTAAAACAGCAGCCACAGTGGGCGAGAGGAGGAAGCTACCATTAATTAATGCCACACAAACATCCTCTGTCTTCAGCCCTTTATGCAAATCAGAGTTTGTTTAATTTCCTTGATAGCTGTCATAAAAGCAAAAATCAAAGAATTAGCTCCTTGTTGGTGGACAGTTAATGAGTTTTAGATTGAGACAGAATGACAATGAAAGCAGCTGAGCCCTCATTAGATCATCACACACAGAGAGGATGATGGTGTTCATTAGACAGATGATGGTTCGACAGTGAAATGGTGCAGAGTTTTGACAGCACATTCAAAGTGTTTGAGAAAAAAGATGCTGTACAGGAACGGATTAATGACCTACAGATAAGTGTTTAAAATAAAGTTAAAAAGTCATTATACATAGGCAGCAGCATTATCTTCTGTTATCAGTGTTAAACCTCTGTGAAACTTGGAGCAACAGTGGTTAAACAAGACCATGTGTAGCTTCATAGCCCCATACTCTTGTTTCTAATATGTTTCATTTTGAATTTTCTAAACACTTTTTTGTTACATATTTGAAATACTCTGCTATGGTTTAAGTTAAATTAAGATACATGAATGTGCTCATGTACTTGATGCCACCCTCGCACAAGTTGGTGCCCTAGTTCGGCTACCCTAGTCAAAAAGGTCTGGACACGCTTCTGCTCGTCAGTGCGCTGTCCAGGTACTTTGTATGGCAACAGATGGATCAGTGCTGAATGGAGAGTTCTATTTATGAAATAGATAATTATGTAATATGGATGCATGATATAATTGATATGAAATTTGTATTGGCAGATAACTAAAAAAGTGAGTTATCTGTAATGGCAAACACACTGCAGTTGCATTGCTGTACGTCTATGTAAAAAAAAAAAGGAAAAAAAGAAAAGGAAAAAACAACAAAACATTGATCATACTGTCACAATTTGAGTTACAGGTAAAATCTATTTCACAAGAAATCAGGTGCTTCTGAAAAAAAAAGAGTGTGTTTTTAACAGTATCAATGTCAGTATCGCCCAAAATGATTTTGAAAATATCGGCAAATTGGATATTAACAAAAATCCAATATCATGCATCCTTTTTATGCACATCATTACATAGTTTGTATTGTGCACTATCCATTGATAGTAGACAGTCTTCTATTTTTATAATCAGCCTCATTTGCCTGTGCCTTAGCTGATGATGAATAGCTAGTGAAAAAGGATCACTAAAAAAGACACTTTTTACTATCTGCTATATTTTCTTGAGTTTAATATCACTATATATATATATATATATATATATATATATATATATATATATATATATATATATATGTGTGTGTGTGTGTGTGTATGTATGTATCAACAAATGAAAAGATATCACAATATTAGTTTTTTCTCAAAACTGTGCAGCCGTAAATTCCATCATATCCTCAAACTGTTATAAATGGGATTTTAACACCCTGTTCTAATCAGGGTTTTGAGTAACACTGGGTTTTTTCTATTTCTGGGACATAACATGCTGAAAAATCAGGGTACGTTGTGCATCTGTGTGTCTGTTTGCACACATGCACAAAACTCGTAAGTCTTTAAGGAATTTGTGGTTTAGATGACTGCATGTGTGAATAGTAACACAAATTTTTCAACTGTACTTGCAATTTTTCCTGCCAACGCTTCTAAAAGTTTTCCAAGAAGTTGTGGTGAGCTGGTGTGAGAACAAAACAGGAAATATGCAGGACAATTTGCAATGAGTGGGGAGGTGATGATATTTATGCCACACGACTGCTACAAGCCCAGAGGAGCATCATGTAGCAGGATGACTAAACACACCTGAAGCTACAAAAGAGTAATTTTCCAAATAAAAACACAGATCATGTCTGCACATCCATCCTCTCACAGGGCTCTGTTGCTTCATCCACCATCATGTTGTCATTTTTACACTATGGCTTTCACAGCCTGCATTTGTCATCATGTCCTGCCTCCCAAGACTCTCCTGCCCACCTACCAGCCTCATCTGGCAGTGAAGGCTTCACACTGTGAAGGATTAGGCTGGGGTAGCAGGAACCAGTTCCAACTTGGGACTGGTTCAAAATGTCTGAGATTCATGGATTCAATAAGGTGCATGAATTTTTCAGTTCCACATTTCAGTTCTCAACAGCAACATCAATCTTCCAGGATTAAATTTAAGAGAGAAGTGCAGTCGACAGAGTCAGGACCTGCTCTGCTGAGGTGATACTTTATCATTTGTGTTGCAGTTTTAGTGCTGCTCAATTAGGCCCCCCAAAAAATAAAAATATAGTTCAGATTATTTTGATTGATATTGATTTCACGATTATTAAAGGGTAACCTAATTTTACACCAGCATCACACTCATGTTAGCAACTTCAAATCTCCTCCTGTAGTCGGGGCAATACAACAGGCAGCATAATAATCGTTCAGTATTGATTATCATGATTGTATGATTGTGGGGGCCAAAATAATAACCAAATTGAAATCTGAATAATTGCCCAGCTCTACAGTACATTAACAAAATTGTGATAAGAGCATCACGGCAGACTGCTTCATGTAATCACACGTTTAGCTTAATTTAAGTGAAAAGGTAAATAAAGTGCAACGGGTGTGTCAAGACAAGTCATACAAAGAAGGTAGTTCATTCAGTATGATGAGGCATTTACTCTGACCAAGTGTTAATGTGAGGAAGGGCACAATATCTGCAGTCCTCTGCCCATGACGACAACTCCACCACAGCTGGCAGTATAAGTAAGGCAGTATAATAAAAAGAAAAGGGAAGTCCTCGCATTTAAACAATTTATTTTTAAGAGCTCAAATGTCTTGATGATGAAAGCAGGCCGATATTTGTTCCCGAATTACCCTCTCTTTTCTTTCTCTAAAAATAATCACAAATTGAGAACTGGAATCGATTACCGAAATTGCTAAAAATGAAATGGCACCCAGCACTATAAGGTATATGTGTGTACAAGCAGTGAAAGACTATTTTGGAGTAGAGCTTTTGGAAATTCCCTGGCTGTTTTAAGGGCTAACATATTTGTTAACAGTTGAAGAGACCACTGCAAAAACTCAATTCTTAGTGTTTTATTACTTGTAAAAATTGTCATTTGGGGTTTAATTTAATCCACAGTCAGCTGACAAGTCCAGAAAAAATGACTCATTTTAAGACATTACTTAAAAAAAAAAGAGTAAGACCCAAAATGTTCAATGATCCATCCGCCAATGAAAGAAAGTGAAAATACACTTTTCAAGTTTCAAAAATTCGAGTTGAATTTCTTAAGGTGAGAAAAAGTTTTATTGAAGAGGTTGACATGTAGACTTTTCTTCTCCTTTGCAGATTTCTTTCTTGTCTTTTCAGGTTTTAGGAAAAAGTATGTGGACTTGTCAGGTGAAGGTGGCTACAGTCTAGCACCATTAGACACTTTCTAGCAGTAAAAAACACACAAACACTTACAAAGTGGGTCTTGCAGTGTTGGGATTCAACCACTTGGGAATAAGAACATGTCAGTTGTTTTATCCTGACACGACTAAGGTGTGTATGAAGGCTACCTTTTTTCTCACGGTCTCACGTGGCTTTGAACAAAGTCTCTTTTAAATCACACGTGTAGGATCAAACACAAAAAAGTTCTATTTATAACTTGGTTTTACCTGAGCTGTAAATATCTCACTGGGACATCTTTTACAGTTTGTTACATCATGACAGAGAGGCAAGCTGCTCTTCGTCTTCAGAATCTGAGTCGGTTTGAAGAGTCATTTATAAACACGGCTAATGGTCCTCCATTTTGGATCCATGTACCTTGTTCAGTCAGTCGACCCTCAGCGGTGTCACTTCTCCACGCCATGCTCACTCTTTCCAGTCTGATGGTGTGGAAGCTGCCGAGGAGCTGTAATGGTGCTGGGATGAGCTGTCTGTGACCTAGTTTTGCTGTCTCCTCGTTAAATTGTTAATAGATCCTGAGTGCAGCATGGAGCCTCTCTGGAGAGTCCAAGCCAACACAGGAACCAAAAATAGCCCCCCACAAACTGGGAGGTAATTTATTTATTTTACCAATTACCTACATGTCCATGCTGAGCCTCCATGTTGGTGTTTTATAATGTCAATTGAAGACAAAATACACATACAGTACCAGCATCACATACTGAAGCAATGAAACCATAAATCTTTAAAACAGCCCCATTTCAAATCAACCTGACTCTGCAGATGCAAATGCTGACCTTTACTGAAGCTGAAAAACAATCTCCACAGACTGGCAGCTGTGTATTATTCATTCGTATGATCAGTCTGCACCAGCAGAGATTAAGGCTTCACTGTCATGTCCCTAATCAGTAAAAAAAGGAAAATTAAACAGCACTGTAATGCCTCTCTTTTAAATGCATAACTAGTCCAAACTAGTCCACTACCCTTTTGTGTTGATAGTGCAGGGGGCATTGCTGTGCAAGAAAATGCAGAAACGATCCTAACAACCCCACAAGTGATCAAAACAAAGTGTCATATTTTCCTATAATCAAAGAAACTGTGAGTAAAATAAAAGTTTTAAGGTCATACTTTGTCAGTTACAGAAAGTCTGATATGAACTGTCAAATTCAGTCCGGTCTTTGTGTCTAAAATGTAAAGTCAACACTGACATACCTTAAATCTGCATTTCTATAGTATTTTCTTGCAGGGGGTGGTCCACTAGCTGTCCAAATAGTCTGATTGGATATAGGATGTAACATGTCAAAATCTGACAATCGTTCAACAGTAGCAACTCAGTGGTGAGACATTTGCTATGATATTAGGGGGGGGATAAAGACCTGGAAAGAAGCTATTTATATGGCTCCTAGAAGTTTGTGAACTCCATCCAGCAAGACATCCTCAGCTTGCTCTGTGTAACTGTAGTCCTTGTCTTTTTGCAGAGAGCTGCTATGAGTGTTTGACTGGCCATGATGGTAATTTATACTTTGACCCTAGTGTGCAGACTAACCTTCTGAATCTGCTGTTGTCGACCACTTAAAGTGTTTGGAGGTCTTTTGCTGTGATTACAGTGATACATATTGTTATCTCGAGCAAGTTGGGAAGCAAGGTTGTGAATGTTTCCTCTAGAGTCTTTTGGCATGGCTGTTTTCTTTTTTCCCTTCCCTGCAACACGAGGAAACAAATTCAATTCGGGGTCTCACATTCAAGTTCCCATTCAGCTATCCAAGCTGCTGCCCACGCCAGCGTAGAGCTGTGGAGCAGTTTTTGCTAGCTGACAGCTTTGTGTTGGTAAAGACTTTGCCTGAGTTGACGAAAACAACACTGAAAAGTGACAGATGTAAACGCCTTACAGGTGCTGTTACATATTATCAGGATGAGGAGATGGTGATGTTCTCCATGGTGGAGAAACCAGCTTTCAAATCAGTGCTTCAAAATTTGATGAGCAATGCAATATTTATGGGAAACAAGTTATTGGACACTAAAGGTAAGGTTAAAACCCATTGACTGGTGAAAGATTTAATTCAAACACACTATATCCAAATGGATCAGAAAGTCAATCAATCCTGAGTTACATAACACCAGTTCACAACAAATGTTATCGGAAGATTCTTTATAAAAAGTCTGGGTTCAATGTGTCAACTGTGATAGAATACAAGTCCACCTGATCTGGTCCATTATTTAGTCCATGAAGTTAATGTCTGGATAATCATTTCCTAGATAAATGAAAAACTGCAGGCATCAACTGAATTGCTTTTTTAAAATATTATCATTACAGTGTGTAATCAGTTTTGTGATTTATGGTCTCATTAGTGGAAATTTAAACCACCAAACCAGTACATGCTGGTGTTTATCCACCCCGACATCCAGACATGGTCACTTCAGTGTCCAAATAAATGAAAAACAAAACCAAGGTGATGAAACTTGGGGCTCCAAAATGGTGGCAACATCCACCTCATATAAACAATCTGTGGGTTAAAATCATATTCTGGTCAGCTGCTTTAGACAATCGCTATATAAATGATGCGATGATAAACAGCTGGAGCCTGATCCCATTGTTCAGAGTGAAAAAAATGTGCTTTTCTAATGTTAATCATGCATTGTATCTCGTTAGTTACCCATGACAGTCTGGGCCATTTGTGGTATATACAGTACAGAAGGACATCATCATTAGAGATGTAATTATCATCATTGCCATCTATTAGTCACACTCCCTCTGTCTCCAGCATATGGAACCAAGAGCAGATAAACAATGTCATCCTCTGGGACTCTGCAGCTCTGAGTCTCTGCACAGTCTACACACAGGACTGGTTCAAACCGCAGCCAGGAACACCATTGGATCCAGTTAAACTCATAGTATTACTGGCACTGAAGGCATGTGAGACTTTGCTTTGGTCCAGCTTGTTAATGAGTAGCTGTAGTGTTTGGCAGGGTGTCTGTTTGTTGGATTTGTTGATGTTTTTTGTTTGTGCAGAAGGCGAGAGTGTGTTGGCTTTATAGTAATATGACTTTTAATTAAAAATTGACAACTCAAAATGACCGGAATAAACAACGCAGTTATTATACTGCTGTACAAAATAATGTATCTGTACACTAAAGATAACTTAGGAATAAACTCTTGATTCATTTTTGTAATTTTTTTGGCCCCTGTCATAATGAGTCCTTTTAGAAGACATACACATTGTTAACAGGAGCAAAAGTTCTCCCTAAACTCCCTCACTAGCTGTACCTGACTACAGGTGTGTCTCAATTAAACTATGTTTTGTCAAAAAGTTACATTTTTTAAATTCTACTGCAAAAAAGAAAACAATATTTTATTACCCTAAATGTTGAGTGACATATTTCTAGTGAACAACAGCCCCCTAAACGATGGCCTAAAGTGCCAATACACCTCTATTCATCAAAGACAAAAGTCTGTGATGCCATTTAACCACAAATTACCGTATCATTGTAGTGTGTCATGGAGGCAGTCAGCTTACAGCTCTGCTGAAGGGATAATGGAGCTCAGGTTGCGGAGCTCAGATTCTCTATGGGGTTCAGGTCAGGACACTTGGTTTGCCAGAGAAGCACACTAATATCCTGGTCAGCAAACCATTTGGTTGTAGTTTGGTGTTATAGAGAAGTGCTAATTTCCAGTTGAAAAAGAGACCAGCCTTGAAGGTGCTCTAAAGTCTCCAGGTAGACTTGAGGCTGGGTTGACTTTGGACTTAACAACACACAGTAGACTAACACAAGTAATTAACCCAGCTCCCCAAATCATCATAGTGCAGACACCTTACTTTTGGATTCTGTACCTTGTTGCTTTTTTAAGCCTCCGGTAAGCTAATTTCCAAATATAACAACATAATTTGAAAAAAAAAAATCAGCAACTGTCCGAATTGTAATTGGTTGATATGGTCCTGTATTTAGACTTAATTGTATCTGAATGGATATCTACTTCTGGAATGCTCCTTGTCCAATCAGATTACTTGTTCTTAAGAGTATCAATAATGCGACCTGAAAAAGCTTCGATTGCATTTATCTCATCAGCAGTCTGCACAGTGCAGCTGCTGCTCACTAAAATGAAATTCAATACCAGTGAATTGAGAGTCCTTGTATTGGGTTGTGTTTACAGGATAAGGATTTAACTGTAATACGGCGCTGCATAAATCTGGAATACAGAAGATTGGTGGATTTTGAGTCCGTCTGAAGCAAGTTTACGTTCCAAATAGCAGAAAGTAGTTGGAGGAAATCAATTCCCTGGAATAATTTGTCAAAGTCTGTAGTCAATCAATTATTCCCTCACCCAAAGCTTTATCTAATAAAGTGTCTGGATACATGGAGTGTAAAACTAACCAGTGCTGGCTGTGTATTACTTTTGCACTAGCTAACCATGAATGAATACAGGACTATCTGGTACATTGTTGTGAGACACTACTGGTGCTCAGCAGAGTAGAGACAGTTAATGCATCACATCCGCAGCACTCAGAGGATTTACTGCCAGTCACCAAACCCTCAAATTAATTATGGGGAAACTCCCGGGTGACAGTAATGGGATGCTGCTCTCTGTTGTGGTCACGCTGGGTGATTTAGACTAAAACAATGGTGCTATATTCACATAAAATGCTGCTCAGTGCAGCTTTAACACATGGATAGCTCTGCCATGTCAGTACAGCACACATCTTTCAACCCTGTGTGATGCTACTCTCTGCTCCAAAGCCTAGATTAAAAATATTGTGGTCCCAAATAGCTTCTCCCAAATGTAGATTAAAGAGCTTTTTTTTCCCATCAGAGCTCACATTCACCTGACTGAGAGGCTTAGTCCTGTAAAATCTCATCTTTCAAATCAACCCTCACAACTCTTTTTAGGATATTTTATGTTATCACATGGGAAATGTATTTCCCAATTCTAGGGATGTCCCGACAACTTTTTTACTTTCAATACGATACCGATATATCTTCAGTATAAGCCGATACCAATAGTGTTCCGTTATTGGCACAAACATGACAAGTTTTGCACTCAGCTGCAATGTCTTTTTCAGACTTTAACGAAAAATATTGCCGACATCACTCCTGCTCCTTGTTCCTTTTACCTTAGTACACACTGTTGTTGTGATCACGTGGGCTCATCTTGCTGGATCCAGGCGCTGCTAGCTAGAGGTGCCGAAGTGGAGTCTGGAATGGACTGCTTGCATCGGAGTGCTGATATCAGAGGTTATAGATGTGGGCGGATATAATCCGATACTTGTTTTTTGGCTGATATCAGGCCAATATCCAATATTGGATATCGTGTCAGGACAGCCCTACCTTATTCAACATATTTCTTGATAAATCCAGTTCAATAATTGAAAAATGGGTAAGTATACAAACCAGTAGATGGATGAGGTTAGCTCCCTTTTTGTCATATAGCATGTTAGTCATAATTCTGACCTAGCATTATTCACCATACATTGTCTTCACAGGAAATGCTTTAACTAATCTTTAGTTAAGAGCAATAAAAAAGTGTTAAATGACATATTTTTCAGAAGTCTTGTAAACCTAATATCCATTTTTCAGTTATTAAAAAACCGCTCTAATTATAACCTCCATGGCTCCTGTGACACCTGCTCCTTTAACAGCTTTTAATCATCATGATAGCAGGCCGCCCAGCAAGGTGTCCCTCACCAGCTCCTGTAGCACACCTGATCCTTTATAGGAGACAGAGCTGGGTTGAAATGGAGGTCACAGCTGACAGGTGTGAGGGGAAATGAAAACACAGAGAGAGGAGCTCAGATGTGCTACAATGACAGCTGATGCTTACATGAATCAGTCTGATTCACTCCCTCTCTCAGTGCTGTGACCTGCTCTCACTCTCACACACTCCTACTCAGCATTTGTACTACATCTTTACAACTGGAGGATTTTTTTTTTTCTATTTTAAACTGTGAAGTATTGAATATATCGTGGCCAGCTGGCTTGTTTTTTTTGTGTGTTTCCTTGTACTGTGCTTTCTTGTCCGTGCAGCCTTCTGTTTAAAAATCTCAGAGCTGAAGTTTCTTAAGCTTTATCTTCGACTGTTCAAGAGATTCAGGGATCTTTTTGAAGCCGTTAGTCTCTACCCACACCTTTCTAACCCACAACAGATCAAAAGGTGAAAGAAGAGGTAGAAATCAATAAATTAGACTTTGATAACACTCTGTGGAGGTGAAAGCAAAGTTTTTTGCCAACTAACATCCACACAACACAAACTTACCACCAACATAGATCTAATGGTAACAATCGGCTTAGAGTCTGGTTTTATTTGATTGTAGAGGCTAACTGGTTTACCCATTTGGTCTGCAGCTCCGCTTGTCAAAAACAGCAGACTGGCAGTGGGTAGACCTCAGTTTTTCCTCACACATTTTTCAATCTTTTAAATAAGGTAAGGTAGTCTAAACAGCCAAAAAAAATCTGCTCTGAGATCCTGTTAGCAATTTACAAAGAAATCAAATGGTACTGTGGAGGTTTCAAACAACTCATCCTAAATTGTCAAACAGACATCCCAGCTAGGACTTTATGTCTGTCAAAAATATGAGAATACACTCAGAAAACAAACACTCTATACATAGGATCACTGAGGACAATATCATATTGGCAGCAAAGCTGGCACAACCACCATTCAGTCCTCCTTGTAGACAAACATCCACATACATGTGCTGGTTATTTGTCAGGTTAACCAGATAACACATTAATTCAACTTAATCTCCAAACCTCTAGATCAAAATATTGACAACCATGCTGTACTTCAGGATTCAGTGTCATCTGTGCTTGTTTGCATGGTAGGTAGTGGAGCATTGTAGCAACATGGCACTGGTCTTAATCTGGAGCTACAGCCCTGACCAGTAGCAGATAGCTGTGCTACAGCTTAGACACATTACATGAGCAGCATTTAAGTCCTACAGCAATAACAACATTAATTATTAGTATAACAGACCGGTGAGGGTTGATGACATTAAATAATTCAGCTAACTGGACCCACACATCTCTTATCAACACCCCCTAGAGTTTGGCTTCAGTTAGCATTACTCAACAGAGACTTTCACAGAACAGCCGAAATCACCTCTGGATCAGTGAAGCAGAAGGAATTTTTATTTCTAAATCTTAAAAATTGGAAAAAAAAAAGGGACTTTTAATTCTTGTTTTGTTGTTGTTTTTGGGATGTGGAGAAGGGGTTAGGCTTTATTTGACAAAATAGCTGAAGAGCAACATGAAATGTTGAAAGAGGGACAGAAGGAAAGACATGCACCATCTATCAACTCAAATTTGCAACCTGATCTGAAGGCTCTGTCCATATAAGCAGCTGAACCAAAGCCCTAAAATCATGACACTCTTCCTCACAAATTCTGACGAAACTTATCTGTGGTTCAAATCCTGTCTTTCTTGCTGTGAATGATGTGATCACTCATAACTAGAAGTCATTATCAGAACAGAGGAGTCCCACAGGGTTTAGTTCTTGGTCCCCTTCTTTTTAGTTTGTTTGACACAGTTATAAAAACATTTATGAAAATATTTTGATCACTCTATAAGACAGAGCAACCAATGAGGTAATTGTAAAGTTCATGAAAAATCAAAAATGCTCCATTTTATAGTTTTCTTGAAGTCTCCAAAATCAGGCAACTGGACTGTGTAGAGTTGAGAAGTCCAGTTGCCTGATTTTGGAAACTTCAAGAAAACCATGACCTGGATGAATGAGAATCTACATGGATCCATTTTATAATATTTGTAAATCTTACAGTATGCACAACTCATACATAAATGATTTGACAATCAGGCCTCACAAGTGCTCAGTGACTGTGTGATGGATTAGACATGGTCCATTTCACATCTGTTTGTGTAATTTATCTTTACACCCTTGAATCTATAAGAGGATTATGGTATGAAAAGAGGTCTGAGTCATGAATCGGTTTGGTAATATTTATCAGCAGAATCCTGTCTGCCCAGAGAGGGAATACCTGAGGAAGTTTTGTCATTCAGGTTCAGAGTGTGTACAGTTCCTTATGTGAGCAAACATCATCCGGCTGTGATACCCGACAGTGAATTTACTTTTAAGACACACTGAAAAAGGCAAACATCAGCACTGCTGCACTATCACTTTCACTGTGTTTCCTACAGTATAAAATCCCTATTGAGGTTCTGAGTCCTTTGTCAAAAAAGCTGCTTGCAAACAGAGCGACAAAACCTGCTTAGCTGCTTAAAGAGAGGAAGAGACGGCAATCGAGCAGTGCCAAGCCTGAGTAAAGACGGAGACAGGCCATGACAAACATCTCATTTAAAATTCAGTCATTGCTTCTGAAAATCCTCGTATGAATTTGTATGCAAATGCTCCTTTCTTCTTGCTGTTTATGAGGCGCAGTAAAGCAGAGAGTGTGCTGAAATGATTGAGATAGAGGCTCCACTGGAGAGGGGAAAATTGAGCAGAAAAGGGAATGTGCTGGGTAAATTGTGCTAATGCGAGGAGAGTTCCCCCCTGCACATTAGGACTGGAGTTGTTATGTTGTTATGTAAGATCAGACTGTATCGAGGCTGAGGAAACAGGAGAGTCTGGGGGAGGGGAGGGAGTGATGAAGATCAAAGCACTGTTGAGGGAAAAAAAAAGAGGAAAAAGGAGCAGCAGAGGATACAATCCTTGGTGTTTATATGAGAGTATGATCACATTATTGCTGCTCAGCTGCAAAACATCCCCCCATCATCTTTAACTTTATTGTTCGAAGGCTTGCAATTAAAACCACGTCAACCAGTAATAAAGACATGAGGCTTTGGTGTTGCACTAATCTCTGCTGCTGTCCACTCAGTGCCCTTTGAACTCCGACCTCTGTGTAATCTGAAACACAAAGATTAGATTGGATAAGATTACCAGACTTCAGTGTAATAACAGCACATACGTACATGCAAATATTTAGCCGTTAACTTATGTGTTTATGTACAGCTGCATCTGCTTTATTTCATGAGAAACCATAATGAATGAGACGCATCAAAATTAGATATGTCCATTAAGATTAAGTGCCTCACATCCCTATAACACAGTGAAGTGAACTGACAAAGACTGAATTACATCCACTGATAGCTCCATGGAAATTTGCATTAGTTTCCATGAGCATAAGCTCTGTGTCAAAGTCTGATTTCAGAACACAGCGCTAATGACATTCAAATGCAAATATTTCCAAGTTTTGCAGCTCTTTGTAGTTTGAGTTTGTTTTGCATCAGCTTGTGGAGAGAAAGAGTCTGCACCTCTGCAGCCTCTGGTTTGAATGCTCTATAAGAGCTCAGATATGTCCCTGTACAAGCTGAGAAAGGAGGGACATTCAATGTTGTTCTGTATTTTTTCTTCCACTTTCACTTCACTACATCTCTGGACCAGAGTGTACTCATGTTCAAGCTGAGTTGAACATATGGACATGTTGAAAATGTGTAGAAATAATGTCAAGGTAGTTTTACAGATAAGTATGTGTAATACAGTATATCCCATAAAGTGTTAATAGAATAGACGCCGTCTGCCTCCTCACTGGGTGAAGTCACTGTGAAAACAGCACCCTCTGGTGACAGGCTGCAGTATAGGTCATAAATCCTGCCTTTTCCAGCAATCCCTATGGAGCTGAAGACAAACTTAAGAAATTTATTACACAGAATATATTTTTTTCTGACCCCTGGTTGTGATGTTAACATGTAGTTACAGTAAGACTGGTTTGTGCTCAAGTCCTCTTTTTTTCTGCATTTATAAAAGTTATTAGGGGGTTCATGTTTTCTATGATTGACACCTGATACAGCCAATGGGCGTACGAAGATTGCGTAGCTGAGCGTCATCACAGCGACTCTCTGTGACTCTCCCGCCGAATGAGTACAACGTTACTGTGCAAGTGGTGGTTCAAGGAAGTGGAGAAAATCCCAGAAATAAAATTTTCAGTAGCTGTCAATTAGTGGTTGTAGACCGTATGACAGCAGCAAAGAGTTTTTGTAATGTCTCATGCAAGAAATGCCAAAATAATTACTACAAAGAAAAGGCATGGGGAGATCTTATGTGAGTGGAATCGTCACTGTGAAATCTTTACATCAGTGTGTGGTTTTATGTCACCTCCTGTGTGTTCCCGTTTAAAAGGGCTGTTTTAGTATGATTATTTTGTATCACTGCTCTAAAATATTTACACTGAAGACACTTTGTATTTTTGGCCCACTTTTTCCCTCTGATGGCACCAGTTTATCATCTGGTTTTTGACTCAGATGAATTTGATTCAACATCTTATTTAAAATGCACCTCCGCCTGACTGTGTTTACTGTGTCAGCTGTTTAGAGTTTACCAGCAGGTGTTTGTTGACTGACCTGTGATGGTTCAAATCACAGATTTGTTATGTAGCTTATGTTGGTCTCACCTGCATGTGTGTGTCTCTTTGAGGTGGAGCCTGCACTCTTGGCAGCTGCTGGACCGTCAAGAATGTGTAAAGGGTTAGATACAGTGATGTCACTATCATATGGCAGCAGATAGTCGGCTGCAGTAACACTTCTGTGTCTCTCCTGGTGTCGTCCAGTGATCCTAAGCAGTTTGTTTTGATACAGAAACTGAGAACTTCACTTTGTCGTGGAAAATGAAGCCTGTTTGACAACACTGTACAACATTATCAATGAAATAGTAACAAAAAATAGTAATGTTACCACCAAGCTTAGAATCACAGTGAAACTACTAACTCCAACGTAATAATGCAATGTGAAATCACACATTTGGACACCAATATTATCCTGTTTCAGAATCAGTGTAAAAGTACAAAGGTGCAATGCAAATTAGACAGTTTCTCCCAGTCTGCACATGTTTAATGAGTAATTAAAAATCTTCTGCACCATGGTTTTCTGAATCAGGTCCAGGGTTTTTAGGGAGTCCCACAGTTCTGTTGGCTTAAAACATTAATGCAGAAAAATTCAAACTCCATGTTTCATCCCTTTTCTTTCTCCATTTCAAAGTAAAAGGCAAAAATAATCTTCCTCTGGATACTTTTATCACTACACAGCCACCCACCTAAGACACAAATAGCTCCAACACCTCCTCTGAGTGCAGATTTTTTTAATCTAAGAATATTTTCTCTCTGAAACGGGGTCTAAGATGGAAGAAGGCTTTCTTTACTGACTTGGACTCGCTCCTCTCATTTCCCTTCATGGCTGCACAGTTAAAGTCCATCTGCTCGGAGTTAGAGAGGGACAGTTGAAGCTTTGGGTGACAGCAGAGGAGACAAAAAGGATGATGAAGAAAAAGAGTGATGAATGGAAGTAAAAAGAAGAAGTGAAATGTGTGACTTGGAGCTGGTTATTGATCTCAGCGTATAGAGCATTTGTCTTGATTTCTGGATATTGCTCTGGATCTCTGTACTGCACAGAAACAATCACTCAAACATTATTGTTGCCCTGCTCCCGGACGTGCGTCCTGCCTGCCTCTGAACCCTGGCTGCTGTCCTGGTGGGTGGAGTTGTGATGTATGGCACCATTGCTGTGAGCCTGACTGACTGAGTAACAGAGCTCCATCAGGCAGATGAGAGTCAGCGTGGTGCTGGAGTCTCAGCGGCTTTGACTCTCTTTGAGTTCTGTGTGTAAACAGAAAAACAGATGGTCGCTGCTGCCAAACAAGTTCCTCTCTCTCTCTGGTTCTCATGAAGGGAAACGGACACACGAGAGGAAGATGTCAGCTTTATTTTGCCAGCTTTATTAGGGCCCGAGCGTAGCTGCTAAGCAGCTGCGAGAGCCCTATTATTCCCCAAGGGGTTTTTCTTTGTTTCTTTAGGGCCCGAGCGTAGCTGCTAAGCAGCTGCGAGAGCCCTATTATTCCCCAAGTGGTTTTTCTTTGTTAGGGCCCGAGCGTAGCTGCTAAGCAGCTGCGAGAGCCCTATTATTCCCCAAGTGGTTTTTCTTTGTTTCTTTTTTCTTTTTCCTCCCCTTTGAACTGGAAAATGGCCCACTTCCCACTGGCGAAAACTCAGGAAATTTGGCAGGACGACCGGGCCTGGTGAAAAATTTGATATTCCGAAGTCGCCCAAACAAGAAAATGCAAAATGGCTCCATAGCGCCCCCTAAGGTGAAAATTCACACTATTGACTGTCACGCCTGTACGCTTTGTCAAAATGACACAAAAATTGACACACACATGTATCTCAATAAGATCTACAAAAAAGTCAGTGCGGGCGTATCTGTCAAATGTACGGTTAAAGGGTTATTTCGCATTTTTTGCCGATCCGCACACATTGGAATTTCGCTAACTCCTCCGAAGGCTTTCGTTCCACCGGCACCACATTTGCTCAGGCCAATCTACACCCCATGGCCATTAAAAGTTATTCAAATCATGACGCTGCACCCCACGGTTTAGGTTCTAGGGGGCGCCAAAGATAACCCTAAAATCCACATTTTTAAAAGTCTTATAACTTTTTATTTTTGCCCTCACTGGCCTCCAAGTTTTCTAGGATGATGCAATGTCCAGCCATCAACACATGTGTGAAGGAATTTTTACTCCCCAAAAGAGCGCCCCCCCATGGCAGGAGAAAAAAGTCCATTTTTTCTTGTCCCCTAAGGTGAAAATACACATTGTTGACTGTCACGCCTATACGCTTTGTCAAAATGACACAAAAATTGACACACACATGTATCTCAATAAGATCTTCGAAAAAGTCAATGCGCGCGTATCTGTCTAATGTACGGTTAAAGGGTTATTCCGCATTTTTTGCCGATTCGCACACATTGGAATTTCGCTAACTCCTCCGAAGGCTTTCGTTCCACCGGCACCACATTTGCTCAGGCCAAATTACACCCCATGGCCATTAAAAGTTATTCAAATCATGACGCTGCACCCCACGGTTTACGTTCTAGGGGGCGCCAAAGATAACCCAAAAATCCACATTTTTAAAAGTCTTATAACTTTTTATTTTTGTCCTCACTGGCCTCCAAGTTTTCTAGGATGATGCAATGTCCAGCCATCAACACATTTGTGAAGGAATTTTTACTCCCTAAAAGAGCGCCCCCCATGGCAGGAGAAAAAAGTCCATTTTTTCTTGTCCCCTAAGGTGAAAATACACATTGTTGACTGTCACGCCTGTACGCTTTGGCAAAATGACACAAAAATTGACAATCATGTGTATCTCAATTAGATCTACGAAAAAGTCAAAGAGCGCGTATCTGTATAATGTACGGTAAAAGGGCTATTTTGCATTTTTTGCCGATTCGCACACATTGGAATTTCGCTAACTCCTCCTAAGGCTTTCGTCCCACTGACACCAAATTTGCTCAGGCCAATCTACACTCCATGGCCATTCAAAGTTGTAAAAATCATGACGCTGCACCCCACGGTTTACGTTTTAGGGGGCGCCAAAGATGACCCAAATATACATTACAGTAGACAAAGTAGTTTTGCCCACTGAGTGGCGCCAAAGGGACTTGTCTGTGGAGTCTGTGAGTCACTATTGGCCGTTTTTGACTACTTTAGATTTTACCTTTATATTTCCTCTTACAAAATTTTTACCTTGCCTTGCCTGGTATCATTTTTTTCAGCACAACCTCACCTGTGTCAATTTACAGTTATTTTATCATTTTGACATACTATATTTACACATTGGACCCAAATTCACACACAAAACATAAAATCCGAGTGGAAAAAAGTAACGTTTTTACTGTGAAAACCACAAATATGTGTGATGAACTGTTTTTAAAACTTAAACTTCAAATAAAAATTGTAAACTTCAAAACATATGCAAATTTTTAACAAAGAACATAGTAATTTACCTCTATTGACATCAAAATGCAGGCAATGGCCCAGGTGTTCTTTGTAAAATTATTTACAAAACACTGTATAGTCTCACAAATGTCACTTTTTATTTATGCCACTACAAAAAAACATGATGTAAATGATGCATGATGTAAAACATGATGTAAAAAACTTGTGTAGATCCTCCTCTATGTTAGTCCATGTGTAATTTTTCCATAATTCTTTGTTTTTTGCAGCATTTTTGTTAGTGTAACTGCAGATTGTGCTGACAGTGTCTATGGCAAAAAAAAAAAAAAAAAAACTGAAAATGCCTCAACATGAACCCCTGGTGGTCTCTGAGGGTGAAACCTGCTAACTGCTGCAGCTCTGTCAGCTTCAGTCTCCCATGCAGAGCTCGGAGCGCATGTGTGGCTCTTCACCCTTAGCAGCGTTGCTAACTCCTCAGTAAGGAAAGCCTGCTTCATGTCAGAGTCTCTAAACTCCAGAAGAAGTCGATAAAAGTCACTTTCTTTCTAAAAAAAAAGTCGTTAGGGGGTCTGAAAAGTCATTGAATCTAACAACAAAGTCGCTAGGTTTGCAACTACGTGTCCCAGACTGCATCCCTGCTGAGAGTCCCTCCCTCCCTTCTCATATTGCAGGAAGAACGTAAGTTCCCGCCCCTTGTCAATCAATCACCATATAATTTTGGATTGGTTGTTGTGGTGAAGTTTTCCACCAATAGGAGAGATGTTGTGGTGTGTTTTTTTTTTCTTTTGGCAAGCCTTTTCCGCCTGTAAGACCTGTCGCTAATGTCTGCATGCTATGTTTTCCTGTCTCATACAGCGCGATCGAGCGCCGAATGTGATCAAAATAAGCAGAAAACAAGTATCGCGGACATAATTTATCATAACTCTGGTTTTATTTGGCCTATCAACACAATTTAAAAACTGGTATATAGGTTGAGGTCCTCACTTTTGAGATAAATTGAAACGGAGAGTCAACGAGGCTCCGTCTTGCAGCTACATCCGGTTAAATATGTCATGTGACTTGAACGCACACACACACACACACACACACACACAGACACACACACACACGCACACACACACACTCAGAGTCTGGTTTTTAGCACCTGCAAAAACATGCTATTTACATATTTGACAAGAATGCAGAGGCTCCTTTTGCCCCTGAAAAAAATCAAATTTCAAACACAACTTGACTGGTCATTTCTCCAAAAGACAACCATGAAGCTCCATCCAAACCTGAAGCAGGCAGTTGGTGCATGTGTACAGTAACCTGAGGGGAGTGAGGTGACTGCTTCTGAGGAGAACATGAGCAGTGAAGATTCACCTTAGAGCTAGAACAGAGACGTGCACATGATTATACAGGGGCAGGGGCTCAAGTTTTTTCCAGTCGTTTATACAATATGGAAATTAATGTGAAATTAAAAAACAAAGTATTAATAGAAAGGTAATGACTGTCCTGTGTAGGTGACAGTAATATCCAATAGGCTAGGCACTCACGAGGCTGGCTGTGGCAAGTGTAAGTGAAAGCAACACGCACTGGCAGGAAGAACAGCAAACGCCGATGAAGGAAAAGGGTCTTTGCAGTGATGGGCGTTACCAGAGAGGGCGATGGCCAGAGGACACAAATGGGACGGGGAGGCAGCGCGTTGGGGGGGGGGCGCGACACAGCTCGGGCCCGCCAGTGCCCCAACGGGGTCCTAGTTTCTTTTTTCTTTTTCCTCCCCTTTGAACTGGAAAATGGCCCACTTCCCACTGGCGAAAACTCATGAAATTTGGCAGGACGACCGGGCCTGGTGAAAAATTTGATATTCCGAAGTCGCCCAAACAAGAAAATGCAAAATGGCTCCATAGCGCCCCCTAAGGTGAAAATTCACACTATTGACTGTCACGCCTGTACGCTTTGTCAAAATGACACAAAAATTGACACACACATGTATCTCAATAAGATCTACAAAAAAGTCAGTGCGGGCGTATCTGTCAAATGTACGGTTAAAGGGTTATTTCGCATTTTTTGCCGATCCGCACACATTGGAATTTCGCTAACTCCTCCGAAGGCTTTCGTTCCACCGGCACCACATTTGCTCAGGCCAATCTACACCCCATGGCCATTAAAAGTTATTCAAATCATGACGCTGCACCCCACGGTTTAGGTTCTAGGGGGCGCCAAAGATAACCCTAAAATCCACATTTTTAAAAGTCTTATAACTTTTTATTTTTGCCCTCACTGGCCTCCAAGTTTTCTAGGATGATGCAATGTCCAGCCATCAACACATGTGTGAAGGAATTTTTACTCCCCAAAAGAGCGCCCCCCCATGGCAGGAGAAAAAAGTCCATTTTTTCTTGTCCCCTAAGGTGAAAATACACATTGTTGACTGTCACGCCTATACGCTTTGTCAAAATGACACAAAAATTGACACACACATGTATCTCAATAAGATCTTCGAAAAAGTCAATGCGCGCGTATCTGTCTAATGTACGGTTAAAGGGTTATTCCGCATTTTTTGCCGATTCGCACACATTGGAATTTCGCTAACTCCTCCGAAGGCTTTCGTTCCACCGGCACCACATTTGCTCAGGCCAAATTACACCCCATGGCCATTAAAAGTTATTCAAATCATGACGCTGCACCCCACGGTTTACGTTCTAGGGGGCGCCAAAGATAACCCAAAAATCCACATTTTTAAAAGTCTTATAACTTTTTATTTTTGTCCTCACTGGCCTCCAAGTTTTCTAGGATGATGCAATGTCCAGCCATCAACACATTTGTGAAGGAATTTTTACTCCCTAAAAGAGCGCCCCCCATGGCAGGAGAAAAAAGTCCATTTTTTCTTGTCCCCTAAGGTGAAAATACACATTGTTGACTGTCACGCCTGTACGCTTTGGCAAAATGACACAAAAATTGACAATCATGTGTATCTCAATTAGATCTACGAAAAAGTCAAAGAGCGCGTATCTGTATAATGTACGGTAAAAGGGCTATTTTGCATTTTTTGCCGATTCGCACACATTGGAATTTCGCTAACTCCTCCTAAGGCTTTCGTCCCACTGACACCAAATTTGCTCAGGCCAATCTACACTCCATGGCCATTCAAAGTTGTAAAAATCATGACGCTGCACCCCACGGTTTACGTTTTAGGGGGCGCCAAAGATGACCCAAATATACATTACAGTAGACAAAGTAGTTTTGCCCACTGAGTGGCGCCAAAGGGACTTGTCTGTGGAGTCTGTGAGTCACTATTGGCCGTTTTTGACTACTTTAGATTTTACCTTTATATTTCCTCTTACAAAATTTTTACCTTGCCTTGCCTGGTATCATTTTTTTCAGCACAACCTCACCTGTGTCAATTTACAGTTATTTTATCATTTTGACATACTATATTTACACATTGGACCCAAATTCACACACAAAACATAAAATCCGAGTGGAAAAAAGTAACGTTTTTACTGTGAAAACCACAAATATGTGTGATGAACTGTTTTTAAAACTTAAACTTCAAATAAAAATTGTAAACTTCAAAACATATGCAAATTTTTAACAAAGAACATAGTAATTTACCTCTATTGACATCAAAATGCAGGCAATGGCCCAGGTGTTCTTTGTAAAATTATTTACAAAACACTGTATAGTCTCACAAATGTCACTTTTTATTTATGCCACTACAAAAAAACATGATGTAAATGATGCATGATGTAAAACATGATGTAAAAAACTTGTGTAGATCCTCCTCTATGTTAGTCCATGTGTAATTTTTCCATAATTCTTTGTTTTTTGCAGCATTTTTGTTAGTGTAACTGCAGATTGTGCTGACAGTGTCTATGGCAAAAAAAAAAAAAAAAAAAACTGAAAATGCCTCAACATGAACCCCTGGTGGTCTCTGAGGGTGAAACCTGCTAACTGCTGCAGCTCTGTCAGCTTCAGTCTCCCATGCAGAGCTCGGAGCGCATGTGTGGCTCTTCACCCTTAGCAGCGTTGCTAACTCCTCAGTAAGGAAAGCCTGCTTCATGTCAGAGTCTCTAAACTCCAGAAGAAGTCGATAAAAGTCACTTTCTTTCTAAAAAAAAAGTCGTTAGGGGGTCTGAAAAGTCATTGAATCTAACAACAAAGTCGCTAGGTTTGCAACTACGTGTCCCAGACTGCATCCCTGCTGAGAGTCCCTCCCTCCCTTCTCATATTGCAGGAAGAACGTAAGTTCCCGCCCCTTGTCAATCAATCACCATATAATTTTGGATTGGTTGTTGTGGTGAAGTTTTCCACCAATAGGAGAGATGTTGTGGTGTGTTTTTTTTTTCTTTTGGCAAGCCTTTTCCGCCTGTAAGACCTGTCGCTAATGTCTGCATGCTATGTTTTCCTGTCTCATACAGCGCGATCGAGCGCCGAATGTGATCAAAATAAGCAGAAAACAAGTATCGCGGACATAATTTATCATAACTCTGGTTTTATTTGGCCTATCAACACAATTTAAAAACTGGTATATAGGTTGAGGTCCTCACTTTTGAGATAAATTGAAACGGAGAGTCAACGAGGCTCCGTCTTGCAGCTACATCCGGTTAAATATGTCATGTGACTTGAACGCACACACACACACACACACACACACACACAGACACACACACACACGCACACACACACACTCAGAGTCTGGTTTTTAGCACCTGCAAAAACATGCTATTTACATATTTGACAAGAATGCAGAGGCTCCTTTTGCCCCTGAAAAAAATCAAATTTCAAACACAACTTGACTGGTCATTTCTCCAAAAGACAACCATGAAGCTCCATCCAAACCTGAAGCAGGCAGTTGGTGCATGTGTACAGTAACCTGAGGGGAGTGAGGTGAGTGCTTCTGAGGAGAACATGAGCAGTGAAGATTCACCTTGGAGCTAGAACAGAGACATGCACATGATTATACAGGGGCAGGGGCTCAAGTTTTTTCCAGTCGTTTATACAATATGGAAATTAATGTGAAATTAAAACACAAAGTATTAATAGAAAGGTAATGACTGTCCTGTGTAGGTGACAGTGATATCCAATAGGCTAGGCACTCACGAGGCTGGCTGTGGCAAGTGTAAGTGAAAGCAACACGCACTGGCAGGAAGAACAGCAAACGCCGATGAAGGAAAAGGGTCTTTGCAGTGATGGGCGTTACCAGAGAGGGCGATGGCCAGAGGACACAAATGGGACGGGGAGGCAGCACGTTGGGGGGGGGACGCGACACGGCTCGGGCCCGCCAGTGCCCCAACGGGGTCCTAGTTCTTTTTCCTCCCCTTTGAACTGGAAAATGGCCCACTTCCCACTGGCGAAAACTCATGAAATTTGGCAGGACGACCGGGCCTGGTGAAAAATTTGATATTCCGAAGTCGCCCAAACAAGAAAATGCAAAATGGCTCCATAGCGCCCCCTAAGGTGAAAAATTCACCTGACGCCTGTACGCTTTGTCAAAATGACACAAAAATTGACACACACATGTATCTCAATAACATCTACGAAAAAGTCAGTGCGGGCGTATCTGTCAAATGTACGGTTAAAGGGTTATTGCGCATTTTTTGCCGATCCGCACACATTGGAATTTCGCTAACTCCTCCGAAGGCTTTCGTTCCACCGGCACCACATTTGCTCAGGCCAATCTACACCCCATGGCCATTAAAAGTTATTCAAATCATGACGCTGCACCCCACGGTTTAGGTTCTAGGGGGCGCCAAAGATAACACTAAAATCCACATATTTCAAAGTCTTATAACTTTTTATTTTTGTCCTCACTGGCCTCCAAGTTTTCTAGGATGATGCAATGTCCAGCCATCAACACATTTGTGAAGGAATTTTTACTCCCCAAAAGAGCGCCCCCCCATGGCAGGAGAAAAAAGTCCATTTTTTCTTGTCCCCTAAGGTGAAAATACACATTGTTGAGTGTCACGCCTGTACGCTTTGTCAAAATGACACAAAAATTGACACACACATGTAACTCAATAAGATCTACGAAAAAGTCAATGCGCGCGTATCTGTCAAATGTACGGTTAAAGGGTTATTCCGCATTTTTTGCCGATCCGCACACATTGGAATGTGGCTAACTCCTCCTAAGGCTTTCGTTCCACCGGCACCACATTTGCTCAGGCCAATCTACACCCCATGGCCATTAAAAGTTATCAAAATCATGACGCTGCACCCCACGGTTTACGTTCTAGGGGGCGCCAAAGATAACCCTAAAATCCACATATTTAAAAGTCTTATAACTTTTTATTTTTGTCCTCACTGGCCTCCAAGTTTTCTAGGATGATGCAATGTCCAGCCATCAACACATTTGTGAAGGAATTTTTACTCCCCAAAAGAGCGCCCCCCATGGCAGGAGAAAAAAGTCCATTTTTTCTTGTCCCTTAAGGTGAAAATACATATTGTTGAGATTCACGCCTATACGCTTTGTCATATTGACACAAAATTTGACAATCACGTGCCTTGCCTGGTATCATTTTTTTCAGCACAACCTCACCTGTGCGAATTTACAGTTATTTTATCATGTTGACATACTGAATTTACACAATGGACCCAAATTCACACACAAAACATAAAATCCGAGTGGAAAAAAGTAACATTTTTACTGTGAAAACCACAAATATGTGTGATGAACTGTTTTTAAAACTTAAACTTCAAATAAAAATTGTAAACTTCAAAACATATGCAAATTTTTAACAAAGAACATAGTGATTTACCTCTATTTACATCAAAATGCAGGCAATGGCCCAGGCGTTCTTTGTAAAATTATTTACAAAACACTGTATAGTCTCACAAATGTCACTTTTTATTTATGCCACTACAAAAAAACATGATGTAAATGATGCATGATGTAAAACATGATGTAAAAAACTTGTGTAGATCCTCCTCTATGTCAGTCCATGTGTAATTTTTCCATAATTCTTTGTTTTTTTCAGCATTTTTGTTAGTGTAACTGCAGATTGTGCTGACAGTGTCTATGGCACAAAAAAAAAAAAAAATTAAAATGCCTCAACATGAACCCCTGGTGGTCTCTGAGGGTGAAACCTGCTAACTGCTGCAGCTCTGTCAGCTTCAGTCTCCCATGCAGAGCTCTGAGCGCATGTGTGGCTCTGCACCCTTAGCAGCGTTGCTAACTCCTCAGTAAGGAAAGCCTGCTTCATGTCAGAGTCTCTAAACTCCAGAAGAAGTCGATAAAAGTCCCTTTCTTTCTAAAAAAAAGTCGTTAGGGGGTCTGAAAAGTCATTGAATCTAACAACAAAGTCGCTAGGTTTGCAACTACGTGTCCCAGACTGCATCCCTGCTGAGAGTCCCTCCCTCCCTTCTCATGTTGCAGGAAGAACGTAAGCGCCCGCCCCTTGTCATTCAGTCACCATATAATTTTGGATTGGTTGTTGTGGTGAAGTTTTCCACCAATAGGAGAGATGTTGTGGTGTTTTTTTTTTTTTTTTGGCAAGCCTTTTCCGCCTGTAAGACCTGTCGCTAATGTCTGCATGCTATGTTTTCCTGTCTCATACAGCGCGATCGAGCGCCGAACGTGATCAAAATAAGCAGAAAAAAAGTATCGCGGACATAATTTATCATAACTCTGGTTTTATTTGGCCTATCAACACAATTTAAAAACTGGTATATAGGTTGAGGTCCTCACTTTTAAGATAAGTTGAAACGGAGAGTCAACGAGGCTCCGTCTTGCAGCTACATCCGGTTAAATATGTCATGTGACTTGAACGCACACACAGACACACACACACGCACACACACACACACACACACACACACACACACACACACACACACACACACACACACACACACACACACACACACTCAGAGTCTGGTTTTTAGCACCTGCAAAAACATGCTATTTACATATTTGACAAGAATGCAGAGGCTCCTTTTGCCCCTGAAAAAAATCAAATTTCAAACACAACTTGACTGGTCATTTCTCCAAAAGACAACCATGAAGCTCCATCCAAACCTGAAGCAGGCAGTTGGTGCATGTGTACAGTAACCTGAGGGGAGTGAGGTGAGTGCTTCTGAGGAGAACATGAGCAGTGAAGATTCACCTTGGAGCTAGAACAGAGACATGCACATGATTATACAGGGGCAGGGGGGGGGGGGGGCGACACGGCTCGGGCCCGCCAGTGCCCCAACGGGGTCCTAGTTTTACTTTGTTCCCACTTGGCTCAAACTTAAAACTACTTTCACTTTGAAGATAATTAAAGCACAGGGATATTTTTGCAGGTTGGAGAGATTAACTTCTCTCTACAGAAGAATATTATAGAGAAATTAAATAAGCTCCTTTTAAAATCACACCCACAACCACAATCTGTTTTAAGCTTCTCTGAGTAACCTTTGGTTTGTGTTGATTTTGGCGGCCCCTTGTGGACACAGCAGTCTGTCATATCTTGTCTTGTGTGTATTTAAATAGTGTCTTAGTGTATTTTTTTAGGGCTCGAGTACTGAATATTTTAGTAATCGAGTATTCTACCGAATATTCCATCGATTAATCAAGCGATCAGATAAAACTCAAATTTTTTTAGTTAAAGTGCAGTTACTGCGGAACAATCACAGAGCAAGCGTGTGCGGTAGCGGATTGTAGTGTTCATAAAAAAGCTAATTATTATATTAGCTTTCATCATGTCCCTAAAGACATTAGTGTCTGAGAGCTGAATAGCTTCTGTTACCTGCTACTTCTACTACACTGGCAATATAAGGCTACAAGCTAACGTGAGGAGGAGTGTACAGAGCAGCGCTGTCTCTGCCCACGACTCATAGGTGAATTGCAAATGAGCTACTAGAGCTCTGCAGATGAAAAGCCCCTCTCAGCATTAATTTTTTTAAACCCAAATTGCGCTTACTCCTTCCTTCTACCATGGTGACGCAAGCACATTGTCACCTTGGAGGTAATCTGTGCAAAACAGTGACGATTTGAGCTTCTAAATGAGTACTCAAGGAATCGCTTAAGCCCTAGATTTTTTACCTTTTCTCACACCTGTCAATCACGATCAGGTGTTTAAACACAGACAGGCAAATAGAGACAGGTACTGGTACAAACACCTGTTACAACATTAGTACCACTCTCTGATTGGCCACATTAATTAGTTTAGAGGAGGAACACATCTGTACTAAACATGATTGCTTTTATTATAAGAGTAGTTTATGAACAGCAGTGCACAGAATGTAAATACCTCAAAGTTTTATCAAATAGTAAAACTGAAGGCTGGATAACATCAAGGTAACAAAAAAACTTATAATAAATTGAGAAAATTAACTTTTCAAATGTAAAAATAGAAGTCATACTGGCCACCTACTGTGGATTATTATAAATTATTTTATGTCTTATTTCAAACAGTAAAATATTATTAAATCAGTTAGCATGTAAGAACCTGCCCACAGCACCAAAAATACTAACAAATGGTTTGCTGGCCATGGTAATATTGAGTGTGAATGGACAGCCAACTCATCCGCTCTTAATCATATAGAGGATCTGAAGGATCACCAAGAGGACGATGAGAAACATCCAACCCAAAATACAGACCAGCTGGAGCTGCTATCAGAAAAACCTAGGTCAAGTAAGGCTTCAGCAGAGCTACATGCTCGTCACCTTGTTCACTAGTTCACTATCGTAGCCATAGCTATCTTTTAAATCAGACTCCCACAGAAAGTAACACATTGGTTTATGAGCAGGACACATTTTTTTTGTTTCTAAAACTGTCCTGGAAAATTATGTCTAAAAAAGAGAGGGAACCCTGCAAAATTTAAAATAGTGAGAACATGCTAAAGCTCATTGTAACACAGTTAAACAAATGAAGATGAGTTTGATTCAGCTGCAGCAGACTGTTCTAATACACACTGTACTTGCTCATGCATTTTAAAGCTTTTATTTTTCAGAGCTGAGTGAATCTTAATGTTTCAGCGCATCAGCTGTCTGTCTGTCTGTCTGTCTGTCTGTCAGGGGAGAACAGTCAGGAGCAGTTAGAGCGGGAACAGAGAGCGTGTCTGTGATGCAGAAACATGGATTATAGATCAACGCATCTCATTCCCGCTTCCTGCTACATGTCCAGAGTGACTCTGTGAAGTTTTCCTGCGATGCTCTCCCTCTTCTGAAAACATGAGACACTTTTAAAAAAAAGTTTTTCATCAAAGATCTTCAAAAAACACAAGTGCACAGCTTGCTGCAGCGTAACAATGTGTGTTCTGCAACAAAAACCCAAAGAGGAAAGTTGATGATGATGATAATGATGATGTACTTTTCTGTGTTTCTTGCAGAGACAAGCATCTGGAGCTACAACTGGAAACAGCAAGCCATCTGCTGGCCAAGGTATCATTTACTAACTGTAATGTTCAGTCAACATAATACAAAACAGGACTGATTTATTCAAAACAAAGCCTGTGAAGTGCACAGTCAGTATTTCATATAAGGAAGTACAAAAGTGAATGTGAAATATTCAAAGGTTTGAAAAAAAAAAAAAAAAGCACCAAGCAGGTAAAATCAAATAAAAATAAAAAATCTCAGACCTCAAAGATACTGCCAAAGTACAAAAAGTAGCATTAAAATGGTGTCATAGCTCCTGAGTCACCAAACCCTGAACCCGAGTCATGTGTGGAGTTCAACATCTGTTAAACTAAGGGAAGCTGAAACTAACAGTCCGCTGTGGTCGGCAGCAGATGGTGACCTAGCATGTTCAAGGTTCAAAAGTAGCTAGGCAAAAGCCACTTCTTTTTCTGATGTTTGACCATGTAGTAATCTTTCTTCAGTTCTGTTCATGTGACCAGACTTATTATTACATTGTGTGTGTAAAGAAACCCACATCCTGTAGTCAGTTTACTGCAGACTTGGATGGGTTGAGTTTTACATAGAAAAAAACATCTTAATGGAAGATCAAAGATCCTGTTGAGTCCTTCAGAGGATCTACAATTAAAATAGTATTTAGTTATTAAAACTAGTTTACCTGTCTAAGTTCTTTTCTATCCTTAAAATGTTGCATCATTTCGATAACTATATTTTCACAAAATTATGACATGAGATATTAGATAGCATTCTTGGTAGAGCCAGGCATTCAATCATATTTTAACTCTGGCTTCCTGTGATTATAAAAACAAGATTAAATTCCAGATTAAAAATATTGCTGTGCTGCTCATTTTGTCCTATTTGGCACAATTTCCCTCCCATCCCTCGCAGTAGAGCGTGTGGGCTAAAATACATCATTATCAGGAGCTCGGATCGATAAGCAGCAAGGGTTTGGGAGTGCAAAGATGTTGTTTCAAAATGTGTCAAGTGGGGAGCTGCTGTGGGGGGCTGAAGGAGCAGGTGTGTGTGTTAGTAAAGCAGAGGGATGGAGTGAGCAGAGAAGAGAGTGTGTATTAATGAAGTTTGAAAAGTGTATTAGAAGATGGCAGCCAGAAGAGCTGCATTAGGGAGAATCAAAGTGTTCAGGATATTCAGATATCAGTATATTTAAGTTTAATTAATACATTAGATTTAGATGTTTCCAGATTTACAAGTAAGTATCAGGATCTCAATCTAGATAAGAATAATCTGGAGTATAGTTTATGGCAATTGAGCAGCCATAACAGCAGGTTAAGTATGTGTTTTTTTTATTAGTAACACCATGACACTGTGGTTTTGGCTGTGGCCAGTTTCCTCTGCTTTGTCATGGATACAAAAGAAGACCTACTTTTTAAACTGGGCCATGATAGTGTTGGCATGATGCTGTAATTCAGATCCCTTGAGTTATGAACAGTAAGATTTGGCTTGCAGAACTTGGCAGGATCCTTTTAAATTTATAAATAGTGGTAAGTGGTAGAGCTGTCTTCTTGGCTAAATGGGTATAAGCAAGAACAAAGCCGTTTTTCAAATGAGCCCCAGACCAGCAGCTCAGGGGAGAGGAGTGTGAATTAGTCTGACACTTTCTCTGAGACCTGCAGTATTAACAGTTGCTATCCAAGCTTTGAAAATAGTCTTAGATGTTATCATAAATACACAGTACATTTAGCAGGCTGTGTGGAGTTATTGGGGTGCCTTGTTCCAGCCATTTGTGCAGACATCTCTCTCAGCAGTGTTATTGGAGTCTGAACTCTCGCAAAAGTAGGTTTCATTTATGGCAGCAAAGGAACGACTGACAGTAATCTTGTCCGTTCCTCAGAGTTCTCCGAACACGGTGGATGCTGCAGGTTAATAGCAGCACATTTTCTGTATAATGGCTCCCTGGCCTCATTCAGCAGCTCTCTGTACCTGGAGACCTGGTGTCACCTCTCTTGTCTCTCTGGTGCGGCTGATAACACCGTAAGAGCGAGCTGAAAAGGATTTCTGTCCCAACTTCTGGGGTGATGAAGTGTATCAAGGCTCAGCCTCAGCCCGGGGGGGAAACATCCAGGCGCTGATCAGGAGGGATTTAAGGCACATAATTGAATTTGATAAAGGTGTGAATTGCATTCATTTGCACACTCTAACACGTTTTACATCTGCTCATTTTCAGCAACTGTATAGGTGCGAAAAGCTCTAGACGGGGGGCTGAACTATGTCCGCCTTTTGAATGACATAATAGACTTTATACACTGTATGAGAAGAAAGGAGCTGCTGGGATGTGACCTCTTGATTTGGGACCACATTTAGATTCGTGGTCAACCAGTCAATCAGTCAAGTAGTTTCTATTTATGTCAAATGTTCACAACAGGTCTAGATTGTACCCTTTATCTAGACCTCTATTTGCGCTGCTGAGTTGAAGTCCTCCATCCAGAACCAGTTTAGAAGCAGTCTTAGGCAAGTTTTACATAGCTGATATGAAGATGGCTGCTTGAGTTCCTGTAGCCAGAATAGTTCAGCCATAAAGTGTCATTAAATATTCTTGCACATTAATCACCCATTACTCACAGTAGCCTGGTTGTTGTACCAATACAGGACTGGTTCTAAGGGTTAGGTCTGTAGTAAACAGGTCCTTTATTTCCAGCTTCTCTCACACTCAACTTTATCTGGGTCTCACTCCCAGGTTTATAAACCGCCAGTAATTGGTTTACTTTTGAAAAAATGTCACAATCTGATTATGACTATTATGCTGTTTTAGTTAGGTACAATTTTCTTTACACCATGTAATTATAATGTTATCACACTGGGTTGTAAATGGTTGAAAACAGGTTTATGGTTCTGCTTTTAAAAAAAACGAAATCAAGAAGATATCCACTGCCTGGTGTGAGGGCCACATCAAGAGAATAGGATAGTGAAAAGAAAGTCATTATGATATGAGATAAAAGTCATTATATTATATATCAAAGTCATATTAGGAGGTGATGTTTCGATCGTAAAGTCGTTATGTAGTGGGTATTAAGTTGTTAACCTCGTCAATGATTAACTGCATGATACTACTCTGAAGGGAGAAACAACATGTCTCAGCTTTTTGTACAGTCTTTTCAGAGTCCTGATACTACAAACATTGTGGTGGAGAATTTCATTATTTGCAAAAAACTGACTACACTCAAATTTTTTTTAGTAAGATTTTTTTTTTTTCATAAAATAATGTCTTTGTAACTGCTTTATTCTCACCAGAGCCTGACTTTATTCTTGTAACATTATGGGCTCTATTTTCGTGCCTCGCAGGCGTCGTGGTGCAGGCCCGGTGTAAGTCAGGTCCGCCAGAATATTAGTTGTTGTTGATTATTTATTGCACTGACACTGTGGAAACCTGCCTGTGAAGCACCCTGTTGCATACGCCGCAGGTCTACCAAAATACCACTAGACCAGCTGCGCTCTGCCTGCGCTGAATGCTGACCAGGTTTGAATTGGCGAGCTTTCAGCACACTTTATACGCCGCTGGCAAGCACGAAAATGTCACTGCGCCAGCTGATTCTGTTGACACCTCCCCCTGCCGCGCCACCATGCCCAGCTTGGCGGACCTCGGTGCGCCTCAGTCCACGAAAATACCACACTGGCTGTACGCCGGGCTCTGCCAGACGAAAATACCACTGCGCAGGGTCCGCCACCCTCTGCCGTGTCGCCGGCAGGCATGAAAATAGAGCCCTATGACTTTATTTTCTTTCGTACATTTTCATAAAATAACAAATTTATTCTCAATATATTTTGACTCTACTACAAAATATACTGCCATTAGATTATGACTTTGTCCTTGAAGACATAATTACTTTATTTTTTGGGGGGCTTTTTTTCTAGTGACAGTACAACTGTATTTTGTTGTTTTAATGCTCATAACAATATCTTACAACACAATTCTTAAAACATGCTGACCTCAATCCTTAGGACCTCATTCTTTTAACAGTACAACTCTATTTTCTTGTGAATATATCCTTGTAAAAAAATTGTTTTCATAGTCTTTTTTCCTATAACATCTTATGATGTAATCCTCTTAAAGGTAGGGTTGTTAATCTGATTCATATACCCTTTTTGTTATTCTGGTTAAAATGATCTTTATGTTCAATACATGCAATCAATACATGTTGTGTTCTTAAAAAAAAGAGCAAAATATAGCCTCTATCTTCAGCAGGAGTGAAACTGGGAAAACACCAACCAATCACATCGTGTTGGTCCCACATTTTTAAACTCATCAAATCCCATGCTTGCCTCCTGAGCGCACATGTCGGCGACATGCACTGGCCCTGATTCAATGCTCATAGCCGAGCTGAAAGGGATACAGCTATGCTTGAGAATGGCAGAGAAACTACCAATACTGATTAATGGTGACCGCTCCTGCAAAAAAAGAGCAAAGAAAGAAAGACAGAGGCAGAGAAGGCCGAAGCAAGACAGAGTTTAGAGAAAGCAAGGGCGAAAACGAAAGTCAACATCCCGATGCTAACGTTACCTTCTTTTACCCTGTTGTGCAAAGACTTTCCAATTTAAAGTCCCAAATTTGAGTCTGTGGTTTTGAATCAGCTGGCAGCAGCGCCCGTGCATGGGATCAGGGGCATTGTTTTGGAGGAGTTCTAAGGGGAGGGGGGAGTGACTAGACGAAGTCCTGAGGAGATGCTACATTCAAATTGTAGTTTGCTCGTTTGCCGTGATTACAACCCTACCTCTAATATTTAGACGTATGTTTTAATATTTAGCAAAACCTTATTTTTAAAAACGTTTTTCTTGCATTATAACAGTTTTATTCTGTTCAAACAAAGTTATTTTTGCACTTATGTTCTTTCATCCATAATAATTGGAATTAAGATTATGGTGAAAACAAGTTTTTCTGCAAATAGTGTTAACAAAGTTGCACACCCTTATACTGTTCTCCATTTTCCTTGTCCAAGTGTGGAAACCCCTTTGAAGATCATCAGGTCTGCATGTATACCGAGAGCCTTTTCCTTTAGAGACTGCACCTTTCATAAAAGTAGAATAGATGTCCTTTTTTATTGACTGTTGTTTTTGAGTCTTGTGGTTTCAGAGTCTCTGCTGGTCGTCTTAGGTCACCTTTCTGTGGTGTGGTTTCTCGGTATTCCTCAGACTGAACCTTCATCAATCATTGCTGCACACTCTGAGGTTCCTCTGAATCTCACAGGAACCAATTTGAACATGACCTTTCACAAACCTCCTATGGAATTATTCCCATCATCCATTGTGGCGTTTTGTTTTCTTCGTGCTGCAGCGCAACACATAACTGAAGCTTTGCTGCGCCGGGCTCATAAAGTCTTACGTCCTCTGTGGCATAAAGGGCATGGAGCCTGTGGAGAGGGTGTGAATTCAGAGGAGCAGCTGTGTGTATGTGTGTGTGTGTGAGCGAGAGAAAGAAACAGAAAGGTTTGTGTGACTCCTGCAATCATGAAATATAAATTTGTTTCTGCTGTCACATGTGTCATCAAAGGGCTGCAGGGTCAACAAAAGGTCCCGTCTAAGCGTAAGTAGGACGTTTAGAAAAGTCTTCATTAACGCTCGAGCACAAACATGGCACAGCAGGTCAGCACAGTCACGCACGAAGCACCAAACTGCATGATGAATATGCTGCTTTAATAAACAACCCACTGTGTCACCTCCCATTACACTGAGCCTTTTCACTCACTTTAGCACGTCTCGCCTCTGCTGTACCTGTGCTGCTTTATGCAGTTGGCACTAACTTAACTGCACTCTCCACGCTACACCTGCTTTTCTTCACCTCAGCATGGAGAATGGATTTTTACCGCCTGTGATTAAAAAAAAAAAAACTGAACAGTGTTTCTTCTTCTTTCAATTAAAAATGACTCACTCTGTTCACACGGGACAAATAAAGAGAGTCAGTGTTTAAAAAAGAATGAAATGTACAAGCTTATATGTCAGTAGAATTTCAGAAGTGACTAAGTCTGTTTGTGAAGGACCTTGGGACGCGCCGATGTGATCCTTAAATCAGATCCTGACTCAAATAGATAGGTATTCATAGTTTTCAGTCACATGACCAGGAAAGAGGCCCAGAGGGGAAAAAATATGGCAGCCTCCAGTGGACCAAAACATTGGGCTTTTTAACAGTCCCCTTCACAATGAGGTGCATTCACTTCCTGTAGCAACCACAGAAAAATGGTGATATGAAGAGAAACTGTCAGTTTGAAGCATTTGCAACTAGGGATGGTGATCGAACAAAGTTATTGACGTTAACAGGTTGTAAACTTCACAAAGATGAATTCTGGTGGTTAGTTGCACATGACGATGGCTAAACGTGTGGAGAGGTTCAAGGCGTGGCTGTACTTTAACAAAAATAAAGACAGAGATAAAGCAAAATGGGATTTATGTTGCAGAATAATTTCTTGCAAGGTGGGAACACACTTCCATGACCAACCAAATCAGCACTGTGCATCAAATCAAGCCCAAACTCAGAACCTTTGATTTTGTGTGTCTTGAAACAACTTGGTTAACTCTGAGTGCAGCTGCTGCTGCTGCTGCAGGGCTGCCATCCTTCTCTTCAGCCGAAGCAGCCGGGGTAAACACAGCCAGACTTTGGAACAAGTCCTGTTAGTTCAAAATCATAATCCAGTGTTGACATCAGTTAGCCAACTAACCAAGGTGAAGTACGATTACATTGTGAAGTGTTCAAGGAGGGGTCTGTAAAATGAGAATTGACCATAAGTGAATAATACTTTTGTATGAAATATTCTAATGTTTTTTAACATTAGAAAACATTTAAACATAAAATTGTTGCTGGTGATTTCATGTCATTACTCTGCAATACCAGTTATACTGCCACCTTGTCTTTCCTGCAAATAGCAGCAAAAAAAAAAGAAAAAAAAAAACCCTCAGTGGTTTGGTGGTGGTATGATCAGGACTTAAATTATTGAGGAGGCTCAGTAAAGGTGTCAGTATCAATAAAAATCAATGATCCTCATCCATACTCTTTTATACCTGGTGGCCTTTGGGCTAAAGACTTCATTATTGATATCTCTTTTCATCCCACATGTGAAGCCTTGTTCGCTGTCTTTAAAAGCACTATTTAGCTTTAGTTTTCAATCGTTTAGATATGTAGAGCTTTGACATTCACCTGTTGTCCTGTTTAACAATACACTAGTTAAAAATACACGAGAAAACCAGATGTTGCCTCATAAGAATAATTAATGGCCTTTCATCACTGTGAGACATCTATGTTACTATGCTAACGGCAGAATCAGCTGGTACTTGTTGCAGCCATAAGCGTAGGCATCGGTTTTGAAACTAGACTTACAAAGTCAGATCTGTGTGTCCTTAAAAAGGCCTATTTCTTTTTATTAGCCCCGTAAGCAATATTTCTTTATGCCAGACTTTAATAAGGTCAGTCCTTTGCTTCTAAAAAATGGCTGTAAAACCTGAAACAATATCATGTCCTTTTTGCTCATATCATAACTCAGTTTATCATTGGATTTATTCCTCTTTCCTTCACCAGCCTTCCTTCCCAGGGCACACACTCTCACTGCCCTAAAGTTCTGTGTTTAGTAGCCGTTCACACTCAATAACAGAGGTATTTTTTCTCTGATCAGGATGTCAATAAAGATGGAAATAAGAAAACATTTATGCTTAGTTATCCATCTAGCCTTTCTTTTGGAGCTTTCAAGTGCTAGACATAAAGATTGACTGTACAGCTCCTGTTGATCTGTTTTAAATTCAGTTAAAAACCTTTTTGCTGTTTTAGAGAAGAGCTGAAAATAACCAGAGGTTTGCAGACAGGTCTGTCTGTGTAGATGAGGGGCTGCTCTAAAACCAAACACTGATCAAAACAGGAACTTTATATAACCACAGTGTCATGCCTCATAAATAATGAGTAATCTATGAGAGACTGTTTCTAGACTTTTGTTTAGGTCACTGACTTTTGAAGCTGTCACAGTAAATATAAAATTAATCAAAGTAACCCCTATCATGCTGTTATCTTCATAAAAAAAAATGTTTTATTTGTAACATCCATGGTTATGCAACCAAACCTGTTGGTTCATGGTTACACCTGCTCAACAAGTCAGCAGGGGTGCAGACTTGTTGTTGGAGGGTTTATCAGCCCACTCCCACTTCACCCTCAGTGGTTTTGGACAGCCCTCCATGTGGCGGCCCTCCATGTGAATGTGCAAACCCAGTACAGCGTGTGTAGAGAGGGTGTATGAAGTGGTTTTAGAAGGATCCAGAGTCTCTCAGAGTGCGTCACCCAACACTATTACAGCTAATTAGCAACAGGTACCATTAGCACTCCAAACCGCAGCCTCTGACAGCAGCTGTGACTCCTCCGTGTCCACAGGAAAACTTTTCTACTTTGTTTAAGCCTGTAACAAAAAACTCACCATGTCAACATGCTCACTCTGACTGTGATTACAGTCTTCACTATATTCACCTCCTCAGTTCAGAGTGTTAGCATACTACCATAAATGTTCATCAGTGGTCCTTTTGATGATACAATGATGGGCCCAAATACACTGACAACAAAAACTCAGACAAATAGAGGCTGAGGCCAGATTGTATGTTCCTTAACATCAAAGTGAGCAAAGCCAGGCTTGAAGTCAACAAGTCAGAGGTTTTTAGAGCTCATTATGGAGCTAGAAAACCATTGATTCTGTATTTACTGTGGGAAGAAGTAATGGGTCTCATGACTTCAGCTGTCCAGCAGCACTGCTAAGAGTAAAAACTGCAGATTTAGACACTAACTATAAGTGTGATGCCAGTTTTTTTTTTAAAATATATATGTTTATTTTTTTGTTTTGGCATTGTTGCATTTATTGGAAATGACAGAATATGGGGAGTTTAAAACAGGGGAAGACATGCTGCAAACCCACCCAGCAAAAAGTGGTTGCAAAGACGTTGAAAAGATGTCTTCACCATACGTCTAAACAACGTCTAGATTCGGATCGTCTAAATAAGGCCCAGTTTTCAACATCTTTTTTAGGGCTAAACTATGGCCATGACAGGTCGACGTGATTTAGCCTGAAAAAATACATCTGAATGATGTTGGGTGTTTGGTGGGAGGGGTTAAGGCTGGGAGTTGACTAGCTGCCGCTGCAATGACTATAGCCTCAATACATGGTGCACTTCAATCGATAGCACTCCATGACGCAGATTCCTTTGGTGGACTGATTAAGAAGACAGGAAAAGTTTTGACCTAAAAGACTTTCTATTGACCACATCTGGACTTAAATATTTTGACTTTTTGGGAGCTAAAACTAAACTGAGACTTAAGCAAAAATGACTTAAGTGTGACGAACACTAAAAGGTCTTTCAGTCCAAAGACTAAGACCAAAGCTAGAATAGCTGCCAAAATAAACACTGCAGCACTGTAATGAAAATATTGGACAATCAGCTATAGATTAAGCTGGATGTGCCTGCTAAGCAGTAAGAGGGTCCCCTGCACTCTGCTCAATTAATTTTACCCATAAAACACATAAAAGAGTTCCAGTTCATGCGGCACATCTCACTCGTAGAGGTCCATTAAGCTGCTGGCTTAGATCAGTCCTGCTCTCCTCTCACCTTTCCTCTCTGCTCCCCTCAGATGAGAAGAAGAACAACCTCCCGGAGGACTTTGACATCGACATGGAGGACCCGGAGACCGAGAAGGCTGCCGTGGCCATCCAGTCCCAGTTCAGGAAATTCCAGAAAAAGAAGCAGGACGTGAAGTCGTAGAGCGGACAACAGTCAGCTGGGTCCTCACTCCATTCGTGGGACGAATCTTGCATGTCAATCAAACTGCACCGTCATGAACTGAAAAGGAGGGGCTTGGGGTAACTAAAGGTGGAAGTCAGGGGGGGTGGGAGGAGGGGGCGTGAATAGTATCTCTGTGAAAGTTTGTGTGTAATTACTTACTTAAAATATCAATAATATTTAAGAATTTATCAAACTCTGAATGTGTGTATTTAAATCTTACCTTTTATTTTGCTTTTCTGATCTTCAATGACACATCACAGCTGAGCAGCTTAAGAGCTTCAAGTTTGTCCCACCAAACACTCAGTGTAATATACCCATGTTACAACAAAGTGAAAAACATCTTCTCATTCACTGTCAAACTCTCTTTAATTCAGGAGGAATATAAAGCCACATGCATTTCTGTGATTAATCCAAACATGTCTCTGCTCCTCTGGGCGTCTGTTAAAAGCATCTCCCTCTGACTGAGTAAAATGATCCCACACGGTTAGCAGTGCTTTCTTTCTAAACGGCTGTTGCTTTATAATCTAATCAGTGTGTAATTTGTATCTCCACGTCAGAGGTCTCCCCTCTGTGGTGTCTATTTTCATCAGAAGACACAATCCCCTCTGAGCTGTGTGATACTGTTTGATTCGTAGATGTCGTGATCGTGATTTGATTCCTCTCGTGTTTTTCTTCTGTAAATCCTGTGATTTAAACTTTGTTATCGTTCCGTTTGCTCACTCTTAAATATACGTATATTCTGTACAAGCACATTCAATTATGCATGCAAGCTTGCAGAGATGGACACACACACACACACACACACACACACACACACACACACACACACACACATGCATTTACTAACAGAGAATAAATAAAGATATTGGAAAGGAGTGAAAATTCATTGACTCGTGATTTAAATACTGAAATACTACATAATAATGAATAATGAACATTGCTACAAGGAGTCCTTTTATTGATTTGTGTTCAAGTAACCATGTTTTTATTACAATGAGAAGTCTAAATGAACTGATATCACCCCAAATAAACTCAATCCCTGATGCTCTGGGTCAGGGGTCCCCAAAACTTTGCAGTATCAGACACGCCCATTGCCTCATTCCAGCCTCTGGCAGAGACCCACTCTTGCAAAATTTCTTTAATTATCTGTAGAAAACAATAAAAAGTTAAACCTAGCTCCTTAATATATGTGCTGTATTTGTTAACAGTTACAAATCTGTCACTTTGATTAAGGTTACGCTCATTAGCATGTTTATTCGTAGCAAGTCTGCTGCTAATTATTCATTTTAAAGCTTTTATTATCACTGTAATGACTGTGATCATAATCTACAGCGAGGAAGTCTCTATAACACAAGACTATGAAATATTTATCAAGTCTTATTAAGGAAGAATGACTTTTAACCCCCCCACATTAGCCCTGATTCAGCAAAGCTATATGAAGATGGTAATTAAAGCTTCTATAAGGAGTTTTTATGACATCTATGATATACTGAAATTCACACTGATGCCTTTTTATGACATTCAAATTAAAACAAGAGCATCAGGTACAAGATTGACTATGTATATATCATAATTTTAAACTGCAGCTCCATTTTTACATTTCCTGGATAAGACATTCACAATAATGATGTATTTGACTGTCAGAAGGCAGCAGGGCGAGTCAAGAGACACTACTTCTTAATTAATAAAGACTGTTTTAGGCAGCAAAATTAAAGCCACTAAATAAGGGTTTCCTTATTTGTTTTAGAGTGAAGAGCAACAAAAGTCTAGGAAAATTAAGGACTGCTCCAAAAAACCCTGTTTGGGTCATCCACAGGTGAACAGAATCATTAAAGCAGGTGAGTGTCATGACTGGGTAACAACAGCATCCCTGAAATACTCAGTCCTTCACAATCAAGGATAGGGCCAGGAGATTTCATCTTCTACAGTCCATAAAATCATCAAAAGATTCAGAGAAATCTGCAAGTGGAAGGACCATAACAGACATTGAATGCCCCTGACCTTTGACCCTTAGGCGTTACTACATTAAAAACTCACATCATTCTACAAAGGATTTTACCACAGGAGCTCAGAAGGGCCTCAGAAAACCATTGTCAGTCAACACAGTTGGTCTCTACATCTACAAGTTCAAGCTCTACTATGCAAAGACAAAGACAGATATCAACAACAAACAGAAACACTGCTGGCTACTCTGGACCCAAGTTCATCTGAGATGGACTAATGCAAAGTGGAAAAGTGTTCTGATGAGTCCACATCTTAGATTGTTATTGGAAATCGTGGATGTGTTGTTCTAGAGAGGAAAACCATCCAGACTGTTATCAGGTCAAAGTTCAAAGCCAGCATCTGTGATGGTCTGAAAGTGTGTTCGTGCTCATGGCTAACTGTTTCAACTGTGAAGGCTCCATTAATGCTGAAAGATACATATGGGTTTAGGAGCAACTTGTGCTGCCTTCAGGGCCATGTCTTTTTCTGGAGTGGGAAAGACTTCCACCTCCAAATCTTTGACAACTAGTGTCCTCAGTTCACAAACACTTACTGAGTGTTGTTCAAAGGGAAGCTGATGTAGCACAGAGAGAAACATGATCCTGTTCCAGGGTTGTTGGTTTTCAAAATGAGTGTATATTTGTTAAAAAACACTCAAGTTTATCAGTTTAAACATGAAATATCTCATCTTTGTTGTATATTCAATTGAATTTAGGTGGAAAAGAATTTGCTAATCATTGTATTTTGTTTTTATCATTCACGTGTTACACAACATCACTGCAGTTGGGGTTTGTACATGAGAATCCTTGTTTTGGCAGCATTAAGCACTCACAAACCTATTTTTTGCGTTACATCAGACTCACCTTCACCTCAGGAGCTCCTCCACATATGGTTCATCTAAGGCTTTTACCTCCTCACATGTTGTCTGCTAGGAAAAAGGAGCAGTCATGACCTGGACTGTCACCACTGATACATCACTCATTGCCCCAGCATGTTGAAACTTCAGGTTTGGCATTTGAGATGTTGCCTTCCTGTGTTTTAGGACCTGAAGTGACCTACAGGTGAGAGGCTGGATTCACTTCACTACATCTCTGTACCCCCAGTGTTGAACGTCATCCAAAAACTGCCCAAACTCTGCAGTGACTGGATGTGATTGATGAAGCAAAGTCTGAATGAACTGATATGACCTCACAAAAAGTTGATCCCTGATGCACCAGACCACTACACTCTCTATTCAGTGCAGCAACAAGATCCTAATTTTTATGCTTCATTTACAACAAACTGCATATATATTACACATTACCTGCTGTAGATTGGTGTGAGACACAGAAAACTCTGCAGGACGAGCACACTCATAAACTCAAACTATACTTGTTGCTTGTCATATCATAAATCTCTTCTCTTCTGTCTCCATCAGTTGTGCGGTTCAGCTGAGGACAATACAGCATGCTAAGGTCTGACTGTATATATGAAGCAGACAAAGGCACGTCAGCATCAACACGTCACTTTTGAAAACAAGAGACATTCACTTTTTATATTTAGTCTTAGTCATATTGCACTGACACCCGGGTTGACTGTTGTATGCATGAATCCAGGTTTATTGGTACATTTAATAACACCTTTAAGCATAAAGTATCTTCATATTTTGACTCTAAGAGGAAACACTGGGCATTTAAGGACATTTGCAGCTACTCTGGGGACAATATTTGACAATCATCACTTTTAAAAAAGACACCATTCAAGTATATCATTGATAAATCTGATCATTAGACCTTAGATAGCAGGCATGCTGATCAGATTTATGTTATAGTGCTTTGTAATCATTCAGTGGAGAAATCTCAGCGGCCTATCAGCTAAATCAAGAAGAAATCACTGCAGTCCTCTTCACCTAAAATGAGTTTAAGAGGAGGAAGTCTTTCCGAATCAAACAAATAAAACATAAACAATGCCAGCTGTCAGCTGCAGACTGTTCAGAGAGGTGCAGCACTCATCACTTCAGTCCTGCGCTCAGACGTCTTTATTACTTCACATCTCCAGAATAATTTCCCAGCGCTGCTGGAGACAGCTTCATATTTCTCCATCTGATCAGAGGAAAGAAGTCACTCCGCCTGAGTCGTGTTTATGACAGCAGCACAGTGTGGCAGAGACTAAATCTTAATTTGTTGGGGACTTTAGAGGGAGAAGGCAGACATAGTCGTCATGCTGTTATAGAGCCTCCTGGTACATCCTGCTGTCCTGTCCTGTGATATAAGAGCTTGAATTATATGAAGCAGGAGAGACAGGGAGCTCAGATGGGACTGAGATGCTGTTTAAAAGTCTGAAACGTCTCATTAAAGTCCTTCAAACTACATAATTTTTTATTTGATACATTTGACTGAGTATAAAATGACTTTCATGAGATCTTTCTTTTACTTTCTACAAATGGAGGCTCTTTATTATTGGACTGACATTAAAGTGATGGACAAATCCAGCCTATGATTTTAAGATAAACTGCAACTCCTGCTCGAAGTTTACAGTTAATGGTGGCTGGATTAAGTCTTATGAGGTCTTCCTCTCTTGTGCCAAAAAGGTGTGAAGCTCCAAAGATCCAATCTCAGCAAAAACACAGTGACACCTGGTGGCTGTAAAATTTCCAGCACTTGTTTAAACGTTTGAAGACTTGTGCTGATGTAAATGTAGATACTGATGTGAAATATGTGGCAGTAAAATCAATGTGAACAGTTTTTAAACTCAGTATTCACTAATCATGATAAAAAAAAACCTATTGATAAATTTAGCTGATTTCTTTTGTTGTATTATAACTTACTTTCTTAATATCAGGTAAATATGGTATAACTGTCTTTTAATGTGCATCATTTCATGATATTTCAGTCTATATCTTCTCTTACAGATGTGTTGGACATGCAGTCTTTCAAAGCAGAGCTGAAGTTTGAAGCTTTTGGCCTCATCAGTCAAGCAGCATTTTATGTTTGATACAAACATCCCGTGTTCACATGAAAGCAGTGTCGTGTTTTTCAGTTTGGTCAAGTAAGTTTCAAAGCTCTTTCGGTCACTTCAGCCTCGGTCTGAGCAGTAAATCTGTCCTCTGCATCATTTTGAAAATGATAAAAGTTTACTGACGGCTGATGGAGGAGTGAGTTAAGACTGCAGAGGTATGAGGCAAGAGCTGCTTCACATGAGGCTGTTTGCTCTCTTTAGATTTTATGATGTAGAGAAGCCCAAACGAGTGGACTCTGTCTGTGTCCAAAGTGTCAGTGACCAATTTTCTCTATTTTTCCCTTTTTCACCTTTTATTCTGTCAGTCTGGGTCACCTGCAGAGCAGCTTTGTGTTATCTGCTCAAAAGCCTCCTTATTTATCTAATACTAGTAAAAACCCTCCTTAGGTCTGTCTTTAGCCTGAAACACTTTGTTTTCTACTGCTCAAAGTTCGACACAGCTTGAGGATGTTACTTTTTACACAGTTTTGTTGTCACTAACATGAAAGCTCTACCTTTAAATGAAACATCTGAGGCGCGCTTTTAGCACCCTCTCAGCTCCCCGTTCCACTGGGTTAGCAGACGTTAGCTGTTGACACATCAGCTGCCATCATAATTTAACTTACGGTTTTACTAACATCACCACACTATGCTAGATTAAAGCTACATTTGTGGAGACAAAACTGTTTGTTATATTTTCAGGGATTCTTGAGAGTCGGGACAAAACACTTCCTAAAAAACTTTTTTTGAGAATGCACACTATATTGATTAGAGTTATTTATTACTGTAGAGAACGGTCTTAGCTATTTAACCCCGTAAAGGAACAGGCTCCAAATAAAAACAATTTTTCTATAAATTAAAATGTTTCCCTTAGACAGTGGGTTTGTGTCAACTCCATCAGACACACTAAAAAGAATATAATTTTAATAATTCTAGTCCAACAAGAATCTAGAGTTCTGATGTATGTTGTAATAGTGTTTAGTTACTCTGATATGCCATGAAATATAATATATAAACCTAATGTGTGATTTTACACAATTTTGAAAACCAAGATTTCTAAATAGTTGCATTTTCAAACTTTGTTTTTAATTTTTGTATTATAAAAACAATTTCCGTAAGTAAATAAGAGACAAGAGGAAGTAGAGCCAATGCTCCTTTATTACTTAAACAATATAAACTGAAGAAACAATTTGTTTTTTCTCCAAAAATTAAGAAAAACATACATCTGACGGTGTTGAGGAACATCTGACGGAGTTGACGAGAAACTGACGGAGTTGATGACGTTGCATATGTTATTGAACAAATGTGTTTTTAAACCGATTGACAATAGGTCAATAGGTGAAAATAGATTAAGAACTAATAACTCCTTGTTTTCATACTGAACATATTGTTAATGCAATTAACCGCCGCGCCGACAAGGCGTTCCCAAGCACATTTTCGTGTTTTGGTGAGTGGCGCAGCCTGGCATAAGTATCCCCCCTCCCTAACTCAGCTCCTCCCAGTGGCGTAAGTCATAGGGAGGAAGGAGAGAGGGCGTGGAGTGGGTTTAACACAGCCGAAACCTGTATTGACCAATAACATTAGCTCTTATTCTCGCCTGTGAATCCGCCACTGGCAAGGCGTATTACAATTTTCGTGAAGTAGTCAAAGAGATCAAGGGATGTCTGAAGCAATGCCACACGATGGCGACAGAAGGCAGCCCCTCAACAAGTGTCGCTGTAAGCGCTGCAGAGGGCGCCCTGCACACTGTCTCGTATAAGCACAGATGGATTTGGTGTGTGTAATGTTGGACCCACTGGTAAGACAAACATCCTTTTCCACAAATAAAGACAATCACATTAAATTGCACATATTCAAACCTCACATGACAAAGGTGGGTTGTGTGCACAGATCACATCATAAATTCCAATAATGGCATTAAAATCAAAACCATCTGTGTGTAAATTGCGCTCCGTGGCCTGGCTCTTTCTTTCATAGATGTTGGCATATAAAATAAATTTGGCTCACAAAACTGAATATTATAATATCCGTATGTCCGCTTAAAGTAAAAAACTCATCTGATCACTGAAACAAATCATCTGTTCAGCCACCGCATCAGCAGCTGCAGCAGGACGGAGAGAGGACACGGAGACATGTCCAGGTCGAGCTGCGTGAGAAATAAGAGAAAGAGGAAGATAAAATGGGGGGAGACAAATTAAATATCTTGTTAACTTCATCATGTGTGTCTATTTACTAGATATTTAATTTAATGTGGTTTCAGCTGTGTTGATTCGGTCAGGTTGTGTGTCCAAACGCGTGCCAAATGCGCTCATCAGATCAGATATAGATCAGAATATATCTATATAGATCTAAGTATGTGCTAACTCAGATTATTAGTTGTTATTGATTATTTATTGCACGGAAATGTTCCTGACACTGTGGAAACCTACTGGTGAGGCCGATATGCCGCTGGTCTCCCAAAATACCACTAGCCCATACCGCTCCACCTGCGCTGAAAGCTGACCAGGTTTGAATCGGCGAGCTTTCAGCGCCCTTTACACGCCGGCAGCGAGCACGAAAATGTCACTGCGCCAGCTGATTCTGTGGACACCTCCCCCTGCCACACATCCACGCCCAGCTTGGCGGACCTCGGTGCACTTCAGTCCACGAAAATACCAAACTGGCTGTACGCCAAGCTCTGACAGACAAAAAATACCACTGCGCGGGATTCGCCACCCTCCGCCATGTCGCCGGCGGACACGAAAATAGAGCCCAAGGTCTGATGGTCCAAGTTAACAATATAAAAACAATAACCTTTTTCTTCTGTCTGGTATCCCACCTACACTGGGGTTTAAAAGAGCAACATAGAACTTCTTGCGCACTCTATAAGAAGCCAGTGTGTAGATTTTCGGTAGTGAAAACTACACACTGCACCTTTAAGAATGTACATTAATAAGTCAATCAATGATATACGGTGTGTGTGTGTGTGTGTGTGTGTGTGTGTGTGTGTGTGTGTGTGTGTGTGTGTGTTGGGAAAGTTTGAAAGTTATAATTAAGCAGACAGCCTGCCCATGGTCTACTCTACAAGTCAGAAGTATATGGTAAAATAACGTAATATATGCTATATATGTACTTTTATGTGCAGATAAGACCCTGGAATAACATTGTTTTCCTTAACCATGTTCAATAATAGCATAATGTCAGCACATTAAGAGGTTATAGGTGGATTTGTCAACTCCATCAGCTTACACGTCAACTCCGTCAGACACAAAATCTGACGGAGTTGACGTCTGACGAAGTTGACATAAGGGCATGTATTTTCCCTCCAAAACATATATTGTACAGTGCAGCTAGGTACTTTTTTGGCAGTTGCTAGCTGTCCTGATAATCTCACTATAATACTTTCATTGAACTCACTATGGTTTAAAAAAAAGTATAATAACGGAGAGACGGTGTTGACATGGTCCAGCTGTGACCATACAAATATTGACATTGTTTGTCTAAAATATCAAAAACTGTAAAACTTACCAGACCATGTGTGGTGGTGTTGCATTCAACAGAAGCAGGAAATGAAAAGGGGTGCTCAGGGATATAGCTGACCATGATATTGCATGATTTAATGAGGTTTATAGAATAATCTGATGGAGTTGACAGAAACTGAAGACACAACTTTGATAGGCAGATTTTTAGGCAAAAAGTTATTTGATGTTCAGGCCATGCATTGTTTTATATATTTATAGCCCTGAATTTTTATTTGATGTATATGTTTTCACAATTGTAGAGTTTTTTAAAGTTTTTTGGGGCTGGTCAATGTTGTTACCTCTTGCTGAGGACACAAGCAATAACATGGACCTTCTAACCACAGACGATTCATTTAAACAAATATCCCCCAGAAAAGTAAATATCTGTGCTAAAAAATAGGATTGGGATGCACAAATCTGTTAGATTTAACTTTTTGAGTATGTCAAACATTTGGAATTTCTTAATTGTTTTGAATAAATTAGACTTTTCTATGTAGGACATGTTTTGTCCCGACTCTCAAGAATGGGTGTTTTATGTTTTAAAAATACATCACTCACAAAATGAAGCCAAGTCATTGTGCAGTTTGTGGTTCAGAGCCTCAGGTTTTGGTGACAATTGAAATGCTAGTCCTGCTCATACTGGTCTTTGTTCACAAAAGAGTCAGTGACAGTGACTACATTGTTGTCATAAATGGCTATGAGGTGTCCTGACAAACATCAAAACTCGTTTTCTGGTAACTCTGACTGTGACTTGTTGTGGTAATGTCTCGAAACCAGCTTTTCAGAGAATTGGAAAACACAGTTAGGGATTATGCCAACATCCATGAATCTCATGTTATGGACTTTGCTAAGGATTGGTATGAATATCCAACATTATGATATCATATTATGGATATGAGGTAAGTATTAGCATATTAGGTATCCAGTAGGTACATTTTTGTGATTTCTTTTGTGTAAAACTACATGTACAAGACAAATCATGTGATTTAGACCACATCACATAAAAAATGCTCTTGTTATTTTCCAAGTTGAGACAGTAAAATCTACAAAAATTCAAAAACATCTGAAAACACATAGATGTATGACCAAACATCTGTTCTCTTCCAGATGAGCATTTTAAACCAGGTCATCCATGCTTTCAGTAACTTAGTTGCTGTTTTACTCTAAATGTTCCTTTTATTTTGCAGCTACAAAAAGCTAAAAGCTTATGAGGTGAATGCCAGGAATGTCTTAAACACTTGTGCCTGCAGGTAGATGCTGGGAGAGTGGTCAGGCAGAAAAAATGAGTGTGTCAGGCAGCAGAGGCAGAACATTATCAGATGGAAGGATGGGTAATTATGCAGTTTCAATAGACCTCCAATGTTGGAGAGTGCATTCAAGAGGAGTCTTAAGAATGAAACATGACAAATGAGCCTGAAGCACAGACCACATGCTGTCACTGTCAGGGGTTATAAGTTTGAAAAGAAGTATGATGACTGTGCAGAAAACTTATTAACAATCATAAGGACCTGGAACATCTCTGCAGCTGTGTTTCAGTTTCTGAGTAATTACGACTGCAACACAACATTAGATATCAAAAACAAGTGCAATAATCGTCACAACATTAACAGCATTACGATTTCAATTTTGGTGCAAAGTTTCATAGTAAGTTTAAAAAAAAAAAAAAAAGACTTACTGCACGGAAACAACAGGATGTAAGAGTCACGAAAAGGTCAAACTCAGATTACAAAAAAACTCCAGCGATTCAAATCAACATCACAGCAGATTATTTTCAGAAACAGCTTTTATTCAGACGACTCAGTTTGATCCATTATGATAGTAATCTGCAGCTTTGAGGAGCGCCTTTGTTTCCTATTTTCTCTGTCAATCCAAATCGTTGTCTTTTTGTTAGTCTGATGAATAACACATTAAAAATATTTGTTTCCCGGGGTGGCCCAACCAGGGCACTAACTAATGCATGAAATATGTGAACACACACACACAGATCCACATCATTCGATTATAAGGCTGGTTTTAGCAAAAAGAAAAGAAAAGAAAAGAAATCAAGTGGGGTTTTTTTTAAGGGAAGGGGGATTGTTGTCTATCAAATCCATAGTCTATGATCAAATCACAAGAGATTTTGTACCAAATTTATCTCTATTTTAGATCTGAGTGTAAATCAGGAAATGTATACT